GATTAATCCACACCACTCCACCGGCCTAAGTGCGACAGTTCCAGCTCCAGCCAAAAAATTTAATTACCACAAAATTGGAAAGGTTAAGATTCAGTAACCCTAATCTCTTTTTCTGTTCTTTTATTATTATTATTATTTTTATTTATTTTTGTGATTTCAGTCAGCATTTTGTTTCTGTGGTAAGTGCAAAATGGAAAATGTAATAGTGGGGAACAAAGGAAGGAAAATTTGCGTATTTGAAAATCAATTCCAAAGAGAGGGAAATTTGAAGAAATGTTTGAGAAAAAAAATGGTTCAAGTAAATTGAATGCTTTTCGTGTTTGCGTCAAAATCTGAGATTGGATCCATTTCGCATTGAGTTTCGGATAAAAATCTAGGGGTTAGTATTTTTATTTTTTTTTTCAAGAAAAACATATGAGGGATTTATGGACTTATGATAATAATAATAATAATGTATATACATATATGGGTGCACTTATTTTTCTTTTTATGGTAAATAAATTTGGGTGGACAACAAATTATTTTGTTCAACCTCTTCACATCAAATCACCATGTCGAAATATGTAAACTTTCACAATGTGGCCCTTTAGTAAGAGTTATTATGATGTGAACCAATCGGTCTAAACAGTTGAATTTGACAGAAGGGTCACATTGTGTCAGTGTTACAAATTTAGTGGGCGATTTGGTATAAAGAAGAAAGATGCCAAATTGCACCAACAGAAGTAAGTGACTAAAATAGTAGAGTGATTACAAACACTATATATGAAATCTCTAACATCGTGATTCCAAACAATGACTAGGAAGAACCACTAATTGAAGTCTGCATTTTGCTGATTTTGGGTGTGAGTGGCACGATTTCTTTTATCTTGGTTGGAGGGATTGAATATTTCTTTCGCCCTCCACATTATATACTCTAAGACGTCGGAATTTACCGAAAAGCCGGGTCTCGTAATTAAACCCTCACAAAGATCCAAAGGGCGCGTCGATATTGCTAGTAGACAGTACTACTAGTAAAGTGTAGTTTTTTCATCAGTAAATTACGCGGGGAGGTGGTGGGGGAAGATTGAAACATGTACAAAAATGGGGAATTGAGATATATAAATCTTTAATTTCATGTCCCTGGTTTAAGAACACATCCAACCATGCATTATTATTAGATAGCTCACAGGATTAATACTGGCAATTCGTCTTGCTTTCTCAGCATCAAAAGAACCGACATACTAAACCAAACTGATCACTAAGTTTTGTAGTCCATTACAACACAAAAACCGGAGTTACGACATTATTAAGAGTTAAGACAGCGGGAGACTCCAACAACATCAAGCTCAAGGCGACTCCAGATAGGGTTTCGCTCTAAATTTGAACCCATTTTGATGAGTTTGACCAGAACCTCCCATTGGTCTTCTTGTTGCCATTGAAATGCCTAATTGTACTCATTCCTCTCTTTTCCCATATTGCTGTTGTAATCACTTGGATTCATCACTTATTTTTGGAGCTTTCAATTTATCGCACCCGTCCAGATATTTCTTTTGTCGATCTCCCAAACCTCATTGATAACTTCCAAATTCCTACCAAAAACTTCCAGTCAATCAAAATCTCCTCAGTTGAATATGTACCGTCCAAGAATAGATTCTCTCTCTCTCTCTCTCACTCCCTCCTCTTTTTTTCCTTTGTTTTTTAACGCACAGTCACATGTCTCTTGGTTCTTTAAGTAAATTTTATGTTGTCTTGAGTTATTTTCGACATTATAATATAATACTTCCAGCGTCCCAAAATTATTATCCACTTTAAAATTTATTTTTAATTTGTACTAAAAATAAAAATTTAAACTGAATAATAAGTTTGGGACAAAGCGAGTAATACATATGCAGTTTCAGGTATCTATATGTACATCCTCACATCCAACTTAGTAGCATCAAGTTAACTACTTATTGGTTTTAGGTTCAGCCCCATGCTTCTCATTTCCGTAAGACCAAGGCCCCGCCCCCCAAAATGGCCATGGTTTTTGCTTTGGTTTTTTTTTTTTCCTGTATCGGAGGTTGTTCTGCGCTCTATTTATAAGTACTTCGTTCGATGGGGTATCAGAATTTAAGACTTTTCTACACCGAAGATTGAATTCAAACACCTAATCATCATACATATACGTGTGTGTGTATATATATAAAATTGCAGAATGTATATCACTATTTTGTAGTCCTTCATTTATTTGAAAAATATTTTCTCCACTATGTTTCATTATTAATCCATTCATTGTTGTCATAATATTATGATAATAAATTATTCATTATTTGAGTGTTAAACTGACATTTGATAGTTCATTACACATATTTTTGTAGACTTCTTCACTTTTGATTCCCTTTCATTAATTTATTCTTTAGTTTCTCATTTAATATGTGAATTTGATCGGTCGTCTCTTCGAATTCCTTAATATATTTCTTTCTCTCTTTTTTTTTTTTTAAATTTAATAAACATCAATGATAGTTTGAAAAATTATTTCATAATTTACTACAATTGTAAGGATGTAGTCACATTTCTCTCTTTTTGTTTTTAGTCTTTGCTCTTTATACTTCATAATCTCTCCATCACAAGTTTGTTAAAGGTAATTATCTTTCATTGTTTAACTTCATCTTTTTCTCTCTTTTTTTTTTAGAATCTACTTTTTTATCTTTGATTTGTTTTTCCTTTTTAGCTATTGTTTTTGAATTTTAATGATACAAAAACTTGCTTGGATTTTATTATTCACTTTGCATGTCCTTTTTTTGGGGGGGGGGTACATAATCGGAATACTTTGTCGATTTTGCTAAAATCAGAAGTGACATTTTAGTAGTACAATATTTTTGTAGATATTGTAATGGACAGTTGCACGACTCATTAATTTTCTATTAATAAAAATTCAATTTTTCTCTATTATATAATTTTGTACTATGTATATACACCGTACGGGCGAGGTGCGTTAAATTCCTCTAGTCTTTGATAAATGATGGATAAACCATTACATAAATTGTTGGCATCTCTTTTGAGTGGACCAATAATAGTACAGGGCCCACCTGTTGCCTTAACAGATACTGGACATTTTAAGTTGGATTGGACTACATATGTTGTTCCAAAACTAGGACCTCAAAAATTATTGATGATAGACCGGCGGGAAATTTGAAACATTGTTAACCAAAAACATATATAGTCATGGAAAATATAATATCACATCCAACTAAACCATTCAAATCCAAAACTGCTCTCCAGAATAATAGTTATTTATAAATTGCTTACTCATCTATTTGTTTCATTGCGATAACAAAACGGATCTCCAAATCTATTTTGAAAAGAACATCGATCAATTTTATTTTATTTTTTTAAAAAAAAAACAACGTATAACTCTGAATTAGTATTATATAGGGCAAAATCAAAACTTTCTTTTAAACAAGACCAGGATAAAATGAGGCATTGTCACAATTTTGTTTAGGCAATGAACGAATGTGAACTAATTAGCTATGCCAAGTCTTAAGTTACTCTAAACCTCTTTGATGTAAACTCGTTTCAACCCATAATTTCTAAATTTTTGTTAGATCTCACACTTGTTTAAGTCAATAAACTTCATTCCAAATCTCCGATCCCTTGCAATTTTTTTGTTTATTAAAAAATCATGTGGATCCGAATCTACTTCGAAACTGCCTATCTATCCTAACTACTACATTCCATTCTCAAGTCCGATCCCTTACATTTAGCTACTACTTGCTTTACTTTTCTAATCAACGAGCAACCAGGGGAGTATTAGAAGTAACATAAACCCCTTGATCGTAAATTTCCATGGACAGACTTTAGAGATCAATTCTTCCATAAAGCCCTATCTTGTGCAGTGTGGAGCGATGTTTGCCAACCTAAGAAAAGGAAGAAGAATTATTGTAATTTTTTTTCTTCTTTTAGGGTAAAATATTTCATTTAGTCGTGTAATTTTGAAATCATTACTGTGATTGACTGAAGGTCGTGGAGAAATACGACCAAGTGGTACGTTCTCTATCACAATTCCTTGCTAAAGTGGCAAATTCATGTCCGAACTTGTAGTTATTGTAATTCGTTATGGGAGGGATGATAATTTTCAATATTTATTTCATGTAACATGCTCAACATTATTGATATATGTAATAGTATAGCTAGTATATTCTCAATTTCAATAGGTCTTTGAAGTCTAGCTGTATACGACTTTAAACATATATTTCAATATATAGAAACCGTTTAAATACAACGTAAAATGTATTGATACACTTTATCCATTGATTTTCTTCAGCTATGCTAAACTTAATAAATACCATAATTTAATTGAGTCATTTTGATTTCGTCCATTATTAGCACAAAACGAGCGATCACTCTTCCAGCTCTATTTGAAGAGGAACATATACATTATTGATATTTCAAAAACAAGTCTTTGGTGTTTCGTCATCAAATTGCAGTACAACAATAAATCTTCCATTGTTGAAGAAGTGTTATACACATATAAATCTTGCAGTATTCCATGCAGTACATGATGTTAAAAAAAAAAAATTAAAAATTGCTACAACTAAGGGTCAACAATGTTTCTAAGGCGCGCTGCCCTCGTGAATTTGGATCAACCTAACGGCACTTATTCGGGGGGTGGGGGTGGGGAAATGGTGTCTGATATGATGATTTATGTTGTTACATACTCTAGGGTATGGGTAGAGATTTTACTCACTTGTGGCCAATCATCTAACTTTTTATATCACGCTTGATATAATATTTGTTGTCACTCTCGATACTCAATAGAACAACATTGTTCGATATCACATAATTTGTTTGAGACTAGGGAGAAAATTTTTAGCTCCTTTCATGTTCTTTTAACCATGGATTTAATGACTAGGGCTCTTCGTTGTGAATGAAGAGGCCGAATTTACGCATGCACAGGATTTGCGAATTTCCACTTATTTCTATTTATGGAAACCCTGTTTCGCAATGTTTAAAGTATGTTAATTTAAACCTTCAAATCTAGAGTTTTTCTATTATAGAAAATCACCACCTTTTTTCTATTAGAATTATTTATATATGTCCAAATCAATTTAGTACTCGAGGAGCACAAAAGCATAAACAACTGAAATTGAATATTTTCAAAAATAAAACTGAAAATTCAAATGCTAGTAGTACGTAGTAGTAAAAGAAATTACTATCACAGCCTTAAAGACAAATCGAGCTGGTTCCTGCTGTCTTCTCGCACGATTTCGGGATTGTTCCCTCCTTCGTCATTCAAACCTCGAAGGGTTTCCATTCTCCATTCAAAATCCATCTGATGATCCCTTCTTCGATAGCGCATTTGATTCACAAATCCTCCATATCCATGATTTTGTTGATGATGATGATCAGAAAGGGGATTTTCATGTCCAATAATGTTGTAGAGCTGGCCACGATGACTGCTAAACTTGGACGACCCGGGTGATGGTGGTCGACGGTTGGAACCCGACCGAGGCCGGACGGCCGAGCTGAGTTCTCTGGTCTTCTTGGCTAAGGTTCTCTCGAGTTTGTGGGCGTTCTGGTGACCTCCTAGAGCTTGTGAGGTATAGAACGTCCTCCGACAATAGTTGCACGGAAAAATCCGCGGTTCGGATGGATTATTCGGTGAAGGCAGCGAAGAAGGTGATGAAGACTTGGAGGATGATAGGTCTATAATGAACTCTAGAGTTAGTTGATTGTTGTTTAGACTAAGATTTAAGTCTGTGTTCAGCTCGTAATTATTACTCATGACTAGCGAGCTGAGAAATGTTTTGGTAAATCAAGAAGATTGATGTAATTCATGTAGTTGGCATTGAGAAATTATCTATATATAGAGAGATTCAACAAGAAATACCAAGGGGCCTAGCTAAGTGATTATGGGAGGAGGACTAGGTGAGGTTAAATAGAGAAATGTCTAGTGTGTGAGTGCGTGAAAGGGAAAAGAGAGAGTGGTGAAAGCGATTTGCATATCTATTAGGGTAACATTATGACGGGAAAATCAAAAGTTCTCTCAGATGGGCAGTTGAAACTTGAAAGAAAGAAGAGTTGGCGCCCAGAAAACTACAAAACCTTTGAGGGGAAAGATGCGATTAGACAGGATGTTAAGGGGTAGAAGAAGTTATCAAACGATACTACTAGCTCATTGTGTGTTAAAAAAAAAATACTCACTCCATCTTTAAATATATTAAGGTTTTATTGGTATTGATAAAATTGTTATAAAGATATATATTTTAGATTGGATACAATAAGTGATTGATGTTTCTTTACATATTTACATAATGTCCATAATTGACAAACTAATTCTCTCGCTTCGCTGGATTTCCTGGGCATTACATGAGTATGATATATTCCCTATGGTCCTTAATATAACGTATTTTTATTTGTTTTGAATTTTACCTAATATGCCTTTTTTATTAAAAAAAAATTTAAAATATTTTCTAATAATTAGAAGAACATCACGAATATGAAAATATTTTTTTAAATTTTTTTAAATTAAAAATACATATTAGGTGAAATATAGGGCAAATCAAAATACTTTATATTAAGGACTGGAGAGAAAGTATTATTATTATTATTATTATTATGAGTTTGATGGCATAAATGCATAATAGTTTCTGAGATGCTAAGGTTGCCACTTATTTTATATAAGTAATATCCACCAGCGACAAATTAAATTCAATCATAAGTAGAGTGAAGTAAGAAAGATGAAGAGGTAGCATATCTTAGATAATCTTCATGGGGCTCAAAAGAGAGACAAATACCTGAAAAAAAATCTGTGAAGGAACCAAAGGCTTGTCGCCACCATTAATGGCAGCATTCGACTCAATTTGTCGGTAACAAAATTTTCTAGCCATTTCTAATTTCTGAAACCCTTCTTCAAATAAGCGGAGGATAATTGAGATACAAAATTCGAAGTACCGCACAAATTGATTATTACTATATGTGAATTATTTAGTAGTGAGCTTTTGTTTATATTGATGTCCAATAAATGAATCAATCCAATTTTTGGCCATCTAATCTTAGGTCCAATCATGGCATGGTTTTGGCTGGCTTGCGACCCCTTTGGTAGTAACCTGGGAGGCTAGGAAAAAATTGAGAAGACCTTGCTTTATTCCAATTTAAGGTACGTAGAAAGATAAGTGATATTGACTTCATAAAAGTGCACAATAAAATAATTGACCTTTCTGCGATCTGCCCCAGATCGAACCATTTCTTTTTTGCATCCAATCACTACCAATAATTTAAATTAATTACCTCTTAATTATGTCCGAAAATAACGATCATGTTTATTAAACTTTATTTGTGATGGACGAGTATTTTGAGTGTTTTACGTCCTTCAACTTGTCCGGCTTGTCCGCAGCAATCTGATTCCGATGATATATACAGTTAAACTTTTCTAAATTAATCCTCCATTAATTAATAACCTCTATTAAATAATATTTTTCTCCCGTCCCAACTCGAAACCAGTACAAAAAATAAAAAAACTCGATTAATTTATAAGATAATAATTTTTTAAGAACCTCTCAAGTAAATATAGATCCCCACAATTTCATAAATTAATAAATACCTAAAATAATAAATTAAATTTGAAGATTAAATTAGATTTTAACTTGAGTATTTTTGTTTATGTTTGCAATTATCATGTTTTTATTCCATTGAAAAATTATAATGTTATGGCTAGGCCGCAGCAAACTTTTCTTAACATAAAAATAATAATTTTTTGTATTTTATTACTTAAAGGATTGAAAAAAACTCTTTAAATTAATAAAATATTAATTTATTGATAAATTAATAATTATTAATTTATCAATAAATTAATAACTTGATGAATTAATTAATTTTTTGAGACCCAAGTGTATTAATTTATAGAGATTTGACTATATATGTAGATGATGATTCTTGTTTTATCTTTCGTCTTAATTATATATGATGTTTTTAGGCTATTATTACAACTGTTTAATTTTAGTGTTATACTTTGATTAAAACTTTTGGCGGACTGATGAGCAGTTTGGATATTGAGAATAATTGAAAGTTGTTAAAATATATGTTGAAATAGCAAATGTTGCATTTTGAAAGTTTATCCGATTCGAATCTAGATTATCGAAGTAATAATTTCGGAAATGAAGTATGTAAAATACTTCACTCTAGTCCTTATTATAAGGTATTTTGCTTTCTAATAATTTTCGTTTATCGTGTTTTTTTAATTGAAAATAAAATTATGAAATGATTCTAAATAATTGGGAGAACACAATAAAAGTAAAAATGTATTTTTAAGGTTTTATTTTTAGTTGGAAGAACTCAATATATGAAATTTAAGGAAAATCAAAATGCCATATATAAGGGCATGAGCCATGAGGGAATAATAATAATAATAATAATAATAATAATAATAATAATAATAATAATAATAATAATAATAATTCAGGTCTAAAATTGGCAATGAGCATCGACTGGAACTCTGCAAGCATTGTATTTCTGCGAGATTCTATTTTCTGCGTGTCTATACTGGGCAATTAATGGACATTGACTTAAATTTTCCTAGACAAACATGATCTGTCATTGTGGCTTTTTATGATTATATATTGACATCCAACTAAAACCAATAGAATGAGTTCTAAAATAATTCTTGCAACTTATAAAGATCATTATGGCTTAGAGAGTTAGAGTCTGAATTGTGGAACCATGCTTTGATTTTTATTTTTTCATATCTTAACTGTATCGGGAATGAGAGATCAGTGTAATGTTACAGGTCAAAACCCAACAAGTACGTACACTACATCAATTTCTAATGAATGATCTTTTCCTAAAGTTGTCATTTTAATTATACTAATATTCATTTTTAAAGAATGGGCTTATTACAAGGATAACGTTTACCTTAATTCATTTTCAAAAAAAAAAAAAAAACAAACCGTTTACCTTAATTCTGTAAAATTTCTATGGCATCATATGCGTGACTGTCGAATATTACTGCTGTCGCATTGTCTGTAAGGGGTGGGTGCGACTCGGTAGTTGAAGTTTTTGGTTCGAATAAATCAGATTTTATTTTTTTCAAGAGAAATTTAACTGCTGGAAATTCAAATTGAATAAAATGGTTGACCAAAATTGAATAACCGAAATAATTTCGATTTTTTTGGTTCGTTGATCATTTTAACCGAAACATTATTGCCTCTCAAAAAAAAACCTAACTACCCATTCCCCTTCGTACAAAAATGAAAAGTACTTTATCTATGTATTGAATTCCAAGGCTTGTACAAAAATTATTTAGTTTCCACGTTAATCATCCAAAGTAGTTAGTAGCTAATATGGGGCGGTGTCACTTCTTGTATTTCACTAATGCCACACCGCACATGCACACTTTCATCAACCATTAATTGCATTAAGCACTATATATTCATTTCAATTGCGACCCCTTTTCTTTTTCCCTAGAACGATTCTTTTGGACTATACTCATATTCAAGCTTAATATATAAACATGTCATGCGTGAAAAATTTTCAATTAAAAAAATGAATTTACTTTTAGGGTGGAGCATTAAATTTGTGTTCCACATGATCAACGAATACAAATCTTTTTAGATGCACATCTTCTCCTTTGGATGTGAAACAATTATCATATATACTGTTCGTTGCAAAATGCAAACCACCTCTGCTTTCTATTATAATTCCTTGACCTATACAACTCCACCTTCTGTTTCTTCGATATGACACCAACAATAATACAGCCCTTCATCCAATTAAATTCCTAAAATGGAGTCTAATAACATTTTATTTAAATAGTTCTTTAGCTTTTCAATATATATATACATATATATATATATAGAGAGAGAGAGAGAGAGAAACTATAGTACTTTTAACATCTTCAGACACGATGAGGGGATAAAAACCAAGAAAGACTAACAAACCCGCAATCGGATAGTCTAAGAGTATGTTTTCAGTGTGATATTGCTTGCGCGCTAAAAGAATTGAAAATGCCTAAACATGGACTTGGAACTATAGCTGGCTATGATACTATCAAGATTGGGTGTGATCTTCTCCAAATTAAAGCACTTATTTTGGAGAAATAATCTATTCCATCGTCGATATACTTGAACATAAGAAACAGACGCAAATTAAATTAAAGTTGAATGATTCAATAAAAACGAACGCAAACTTTGAGGTTTCAATTGATGTTCAGATTGCCGAGCAAAATTAGCAACGAAATAGTCTTTGAAGGTTGCTGCCTAGGCAAATGGCAGTAAAGAAGAGTGGGATGACTGCAGTCGAAATGAAAGAATGGAATCTTAAAAGGTTGAAACTAGGAGCCAATTAAGTTGGGAATATTATACTAGTGGACATGTAACATGTTTATGTTTTGTCTGGATTCGGACTAATTCATGGAGTCGTCATGGAAAGACTTATGACTATAATATACTCACACTATCGAGTGATCCCCCTCTAGCTTTAGTATATCTTCTCCATCTACACGTGGATAGCGATACTCGTACTAATCAGTTTCTTTAAAAAAAAAAAAAAACATCAAAACAGATCATTAAACTATTAGCTCATTCTAATACAGATTATCAATCAAATTTATTTGTATAACAGGTCAACTTACTAAGCAAAAAATTCATTCGAGATCATTCTGTTAATTTTGGCCGTTAAATAGTGACGGAAATCCATTTTTCACATGCTTTTGGGTTCAGGGGGATTTTGGTCATTTTCTTATTTTTAAATTTTTATTTTTTAAAATTTTTTTTTTTTATTTTTGTTTTTTTAACAATTCTTTTTCTTATAATTCCTAACTTGTATATATTTGTAGTATAATTCTAGATTTCAAAAAATCATTTTACTTTTGTATTTTAACTTCTAGATTATAAAATTTCAAAAAAAAATTTAAGAAAATAAGAAGAAAAATTTGAGTTAAAGTAAACATGAAAATTAATAGTATACCAATTTATACTAAAAGAAAAACTAAAGGAATTAGCTAAAACAAGTTGTTTCCTCTAGGTTATTTAATTATTTTCAACTCGATTTAATCATTTAATTATTAATTTTCACGTTTACTTCATTTTGAATTTCTCTTCTTTATTTTTTTATAAACTAGAAGTTAAAATACAAATGATAAATTAATTTTTGAAATTTAATAATGATACTAGTACTAACATATACAAGTTAGGAAGCAAAAGAAGAAGAATCGTAAAAAAATAATTAATTAAAATATCAATATTTAATATATATATATATATATAAATTGATGAAATTGCCCCTGGACCCAAAAGCAGGTGAAAAATAGTTTTCTGTCGCGATTTAACTCCTAGAATAACTTAGAGAAAACAACTTCTTTTAACTGAAAGCTATTTTGAAGGTTAAATCGTGACGAAAAATTATTTTTCACATGCTTTTGGGTCCAGGGATGATTTCATAATTCTGTATTATTCTTTAAATATATTAATATTTTAATTTTTTAAAACAATTCTTCTTCTTTTTTACTTCCTAACTTGGATATGTTGGTATTATAATAATTTTTAAATTTCAAAAATTAATTTGTCATTTGTATTTTAACTTCTAGTTTATAAAAACATAAAGAAGAGAAATTCAAATTGAAGTAAATGTGAAAATTAATAATTAAATGATTAAATCGAGTTGAAAATAATTAAATAACCTAGAAAAAACAATTTGTCTTAGCTATTTTTTTGTTTCTTTTTTGGTTTAAAACGATAAGCTATTATTTGTTTATTTCAACTCGAATACTTTTTCTTTATTTTTCTAATTTTTTTTAAAAAATTATAATCTAGAAGTTAAAATGCAAAATTTAAATTAATTTTTAAAATTTAGAAATTATACTACCAGCATATTCAAGTTAGGAAGTATAAGAAAAAGAATTGTAAAAAAATAAAAATTAAAAAAAAAAATTTTACAAAAAAAATAATAAAAATAACAAAATGACAAAAATACCCTGAACCCAAAAGCATGTGAAAACAGATTTCCGTCACTGTTTAACGACCAAAATTAACATAATGATCTCGGATGAATTTTTTGCTTAGAAAGGTGATCTGTTATACAAATAAATTTGATTGATAACATATATTAGAATTACCTAATAGTTCAATGACTCGTTTTGAGGTTCACTCAAAAAAAAAATTTGTTTTAATAAAAAAAAAAGTTTAACTTCTTTATCTTTTTTTTTTTTTTGGGATTACAATGAGAGAGGCTAAGTGCCTAACTTCAAATAATTACATCGTTGAGGTATGTTACTCTAATTAAATCATATTTTACTCATGGTTTAACACCCGTTGGTGGAACTTGTAATTACTATAATTCTCCTGGGTCTTGTGATAGCAATGTCGCTAAAAAAATATATCTTGTGAAAAAGGTTTGTAAATTAGCGCTTTTAATTATTATCTTCGTGATATACAGTTTTTTCTTTGCACCATAACAAATAATGTTGGATTTTGGAACCCTAACTGGACCAATATATACCAACATAATGAGAAGACATTTGAGCTGAAATCTCCAGTGCAGGTTCTGATGTTGAAACCCACCTTTGTATTGTCCTTTTGTGTTTTTTTTTGGCTTATTCTGGTGTAATTTGTTGCCTATCAGCTTGTAAAGTAGGGACCCCCCTACCTGGCGTGCCTTGAAATGCATTTGGGTTGTTTCTCTTTATTCATAGTTTCCCTTAGTTTACCCTTTAAGCAAAGATTGGTATCGAAGTATACTATTAGGTAAAAATGGTTAGATTTGGAGTTATCCACAACAGTACATCAGTACCTATCTCCTTATTCCAATAGGCAATACAATGGTAGTGAATGACTACTATTGCAATACTCCATAAGACCATTTTTAACGTACTAATTTGTTTCACTCAATCTCTCCCTCACCCCCCTAAAAAAAATCTCAATGTATGCTATTTTTTTGAGATATATAGAAAGTAATATTCAAATTTAATAAAACGAATTATAAAAATGAGATAGAGAAAGTAATTTATATCGTGTTCAATAGTATCTGTTCTAACTTCGCTTGTATGTTTTTTATGTTACTGCCAATAATGCGCTTGATGAAAATATTTGCCAAGTTAACGCTCATGTTCTCTCATGAATGTGTTCGTCACTCGACATGTGTGCGTGTATATATATTTGTATCAATGCTGAAACTCCAATGTTGCTTGTTCCAACTAAATTCAGCTTTAAACTTTCTTTTTCCCCAATACAGTGACTTGGGAACAGCAAATGATTGAAATAAAGAGTATTTTCTTCGTTTCAAGATGATTGATACTATGTTAAAAGTCATGTTGAGCTCCCATCTCAAAATCAATTGGCAATGAGTCGAGTGACATTTGGCATTTATAAACAGGTGACAGATTCTTCACGACACCGATGTGAGATTCTTTGTCCCAACCTCCCTCAAGTTCAATGGGGTATGTAGTCCATTGGAGTTGGGCAACACAACATAATTCACCAGATATACTGTTGGATCAGTCCACAACTCCGGTATACTGCCGGGTCAGTCAACAAGCCCATATACACTGGTCCACACTTCGAATATACTGCCGGATCAGTCTGCAAAGCCCCCACACACGGGTCTATAGTTATCACGGGTCCACAAATCGTGGACTCTGATACCATGTCAAAGTTATCTGAGACTTCTATCTCATGAGTTGGGTGACCTTTGACACTTATAAACAGGTGATAGATTTTTCACGACACCGATGTGGGATTTTTTGTCCCAATAATATATTTGATGTCATAAATAAATTCAACTAATACTGCGTCTATGACAACTAGTGAATCATTTCAAAATAAACGGTATTGAGTGTGGAGTGTCCAAATTTGTATTCCCTCCGTCTAAAAAAAATTCATGTTGAATTTTGAAATTTATAATAAAAATTATACAAATCTTAAAATTCAATATTAATTATTTTTTTTAGGAGTGAGTGAATAGTTTCCAAGTTCATTTGCCCGAAGCATCGAACCAATGATCGACCATGACTTCTGTGTCACCCTAGTGCCACAAAGGCTTTTGGTGTACATAATTCCGCGAAGAGTAACGATATACGGAAGAAACATTAAATCAAATTATATCCGTTCCTTTTTTTTTATCACAATGTTGCACTAAACAGGTGCTTTAGAGATTTAAATCGTCGCATTACTTATAATTTTATTTCTTATATTTTTTTCTTATACATGTACCAACTTTCAACAAGACTAATCAGGAATTCACGGTGGTGAGGTACCTTTTGTTTTCTTTTTTAGTGTGTTTTTAAGTTTTTTTTTTATTAAAAATATAAAAAGGTGTATTGAAATTATAAAAAAGTACGAGGAGATAAGACATTTATTAATAAAATAATTTGAAAAATCCAGGGAAAAAAAATAGGAAACAAACGGACAGATTCCTAGAACTGGCACATAAAGAACCCGAAAACCGCTCATTTCTGTTGGTCCAATACTCCATGACCCAAATTCTGTGTTTTTTAAAGTTAGACAAAGGACCCTGGACTGGGCTAGGATTTGTTAGCCAGTGTACTGGTAATCTTAATCCCAAATCATTTGATCATGGGCCGAGAGGAACATCATCTTCAAGTTGAAAGACATATTTATTGATGCCAGTGACCAGTCATTCACATCTACAGTGAACACCATGTAAATACTCTCAACGTTTCAATAAGTATTGTTTTAGTAAAATAGAAAAATTTTAAAATAAGTACCGTTTTCATATTTTAATGCATTTTTTGTTCGAAATTTTCAAAATTATCCTCAAAAGAATCAATAATATTGGTGGACATTTTTTTAATAGGGTTGGTTGAGGATATATAAGTAATTTTATTACTCTATTTAAGAGTTTCTTAAACTATGTACAAAGTGTAGGATGACACTTATTTTGGAACGGAGGGAGTAATAAGTAATAACCTCTCATTCGTTGGTTCCAGTGTGATCTGCTTCGAAAAGTGCAACCACCAAATAGTACTATTACGAGACGAAATGAGCAATATACCACATTTTTCTTAGACAACGAGCGAATTTCAACTCATAAAATATTAATAAGAAATTGTGCTGTACAAACACAAACATATTCCTCGCTCAATAGAGTGTGTAATTATAACAATACACGCACATTTAAACTACTTACATCTATCAGATAAATTATTAAAAGTACATCATCAATTTCTTTTTTTAATTATAAAATTTCCTTTTTGCTCTTTTTTCTTTATTTTTTATGGAAAGGTATAAAACACCAAAGTAGGTACGATCATTTTTCAATGTGCCGTAACTGAAGGAAGCGTTTTGGTGAATAGAGTCTGAATAGACTGCAGGCCGACATACAAGAAATCACGGCCAAAACAATGGAGGCAACCATATTACATAGAAATCCTCCGCCAATTTGGATGCAGAATCTGGTAAATCTATCGCACAGCTTCATCCATTGAAATTCATCCTGTCCGGTTATCGCAAAAAAGGCTCCTTGAATCGCAGCTGAATTTGTTGCAAACACTACGTAAACTATTGCCTGCATGCGGGATTCAGATATACACAAACATCAACACTTTACATAAATTTCAGAAAAATAAAAAGGTAGATTAATGTAACAGAAAAAAATGTAAACGGGTCTCGTTTCTTTGTAATTATGACGCAATAATGCACCGAATTATGAATAAGATCGAAGGGAGTGAGTACAAAAACTACTTTTATAGTCAGCTCTGATTGATCTTGAAAAGGTATAGTATAACTGTTCTTCCGTATATAGTGGGCAAACTCCTCAACCACGGGAAGAAAATTTGGTACGACAATAATTTAAATGCTCATAGCTTAATGAGCTGTTTCGTTGCTACATATATATATATATAGCCATAAATGTCTTGCGCTGTTCTGATAACGAAGGAACAATTGTCATGTACTAGATGATTCAGCTTAAAGAAACGAGAACGAAGTACGTAACCATCTATCTCTATTTCAAAACAGTCTTCATGTACTAGGAAATAGGTGTATATATATGTATATATGTGTATATATATGAAATACAAATTTTGAATAATTATTTTTGGGACGCAAAAAAAATATCATAACTCTCTCCAAAGATGGGACCATCGTTTTGAGGTCGACTTTTGATTGTATTGACTTAGTAATTAATTCGCTAGTAACTTAATTTCACTTTTAATTTATCTTTAATGACCCACAATGTTGTTAGTTTATTAACCCTTTTTTATGCTTAAACCAATAAATTAATTAGAACATGTCGTGTTCCGACTATAATCATTCAGACGCTGACATAATACTAGATGATATTATTGAGTAGCTAGTCGATGAAATAGTCTTGCTAGCAAAAAATTAGGTACCATTAAATCATTAGTCAAAATGTCAACATGATCAGTCAATTTGTTATTAAATTCGAAGGTAGCACAGAGAGTACAAATCATTGTTTCAATTGCATACCGTACCTAGTCCGCATCCGTTAGAACAGGAAAGATAATTTAAGACTCAACAAATCTTACTACTTGCTTACCATCTCACATGCAACAAAATTTCCGGTGTATAGTCGTACTAATTAATTAGGGTTTATTAATGTGCATTATGACAAAAATCTTATAAGAATAAAAATTTTGTAATAGGTGCTAACTGCTATGAAGCATGCACTTGGAAAGGCGATAATGAATGTCATGAAGTATATATAGGAAGAGTTTCTATATTCCTTGATAGAATTTTCAAGAAATACAGAAAAATATATAACGATCACATGATTAAATTACTGGAAAGTGTCCAAGAGAGTATAAAGAGTGAAGCTTTATTGGGGCGATTAGGATGGAAACACATGATAGAGATGATATGGTAAGTACGCGAGATTGTAATTAGGACGTTAAGACAAAAATTACCTGGTCCATCAAGTAACAAATCCAAGCAAGAGCTGGTGTCACTTCTTTGGTACTTGGCAAGAGGCGGGCTCTCAGTATCTGGAGGACGTTATATGCAGCTGCTGCCGAGTCTACCCACACCAAAATACTTGAAGAAAGAAACGGAAAAATTAGAACAAAACATGGCAACAACACGACATTATTAATTTAGTACAACACTTCTCTGGGCACATGAACCATATGCATATTTAGGAAGTAATTTAATATGAGCATATATATTACACTCGAATTATTTCACGTTTGATCTATGTAAACCCTCTCGAGGTAAGATAATGAGAAACCATTTTGAACTTTATTGTGTAAAGATTGATGAGGAGAAAGAAACTGCAATGGAGACGGTGCTATGAGGTTTGAACTATATGCATTTACGCTAGAAGTTAATAGAATAGCGAAATAAATATAATATAGTTTTTTTCTATTTCGAAATAATTATCATGCTTGAATATTTTCTTTTCATTACAATATTTAAATTAAAAAATCATTTTCAGGCCGAAAGGATGTAGACAATTTTGGAGAGGGAAGAAGAAGAACTCACATCAAAATTTTAAGGTCGCGATAGGAAGCCTTGACGACTAAGATGTTGAAAACGTTCTTGGTTTGGGAATCTAAGGCGATCAACAAAACCGATAGGACCAACAAGAGAATCGCAAGAATCCTTAGCACTAGGATACTGTCCACTTTCTTCAATGACTCCATTTGATCAACAGCTACTTTAGCTTTTGAATTTTCGAAAAACAAATGAAAAACTGAGTTGAGAGGAGATTACTTTAAGATCCACATAGCACCACGACTACATATATATAAAAAAAGTATGGGCAAATTGCTCATTTATGAAGGCATTAATGCGAGTTGGCTCAATGGAAAGACGTAGGAAATGCGACTAGGAATTTCTGGTTATTAAAGCATACACGTGAAAATTGAAAATACGGGTCTTTTAGAAGATTAGAAAGCTTACAAAGCTAGTAGTACCCAAAATCAGGGATTTTTAGTTTATTTTCTTTCCAATTAATTAGTGGTATCTAACTCAATCATCTGCACTAACATATACCCCGCACATCATGGAAGTAGGTTTAAATTCACCCATCCCAAACAAATAGGGATTCAATTTGTCGAACAACATTCTCAGTAAACTTCAATTAATAATATCCCGATCTTCCACACCCTCCAGGATCAATTGGTTTAGTCATGAAGTTTTGGATTCGGGGATACCAGAATAAATATCACTAGTCAAATTAATTAAAGAGGAACCAGAACCTAGCTATTAAATTTAACTTTTTGGTCTGAGTTGAGTTTCAAATTACTTTCTGAGTGGGTGTTTTCTCTCAGAAATAAACTTCTCAAATCTCAACTGGGTTGGTTGTGTTTTACTATCGTTTTATTTTATGTGTTGGTTTGTTTGGTTAAATAGCTTGCCAGTTTGATCCACATTTCATACCGCAAGTTTTGGGCTTTTTCTTTTAGAGAGTAGAGACGGAAGGAATATAGTAACATTTAAATTAGACAATATTTTTGAGATGGAAAAAATATAAATAGGCAAATCAAATTTAATTTCGATTTTTGTAATTACTTATGACAAAGAGAGATTGTTGGCGATATCACACATCGTTAAAAAATCAGAACAATGTAAGTCACATGGTAGGTTACGGGGTGGTTCAAATGGTTAATTTATAGATTTTTTTAATCTTACTCCCTCCATTTCAAAATGTAAGTCTTTTTAGCTTCTACATGGAAACTAAGGATTTAATGATTAATTTATGTGTTAAATGTTTATTTTATCCTTCGTTAATTGATTTGGAACTATAACCAAAATTAGATGAAAAGTTGTTAGCATCATTTATTGGAGGCGAAGTTAGAAAGTTAATCTTTAATTTGCCTTGAAATCCTAAAACGACCTACATTTTGAATATATATTTCTCCAAATCTAAAATGACCTATATTTTGAAATGAAGGGGGTATGAGTTTAAAAAAAAAAAATTAAAAATAATATTAAAAACAAAAATCGTTTGATGAGCTTGATTTACTTATTTCTATGGTGTTGTCTTCTAAACTCCCAAAATGGAGGATCTAATTAAGGATTAGAGAGGCCGATTTTGATGGTTAACTGAATACTTCCCAAACTTTTCCCTATTCTTGCACGGTTGTGTATCCATTTTTGCTTCCCATTTAATTGGAAGGGCATCTATACACAACACACATGATCAAGACGGTCTCAAGTGATTACACGTTATTCATTAATTTGATTTTGTTGAAGGTGGTACCAGTTGCTGCAATTGATAACACATTGTGACCATATCATGGTTACATCTTCAATTCCGTGCTTTATTCATTTTATATAAAAAAAAACGCAAATAAATTCCAATTAAGTTTAGTTGAGAATTAGGCCCTTTGGAAATACGATGGAAGTAAATATTAGTACGTTAATTATTATATTTTTATCATTTTAAACCGTGCCTGTTATTCTCACCGACGGACTGTTGGCCTGTCAAACTCCAGTCGGCGACTGAAGTGATACTTGCCACTTGCCAGTCCAGCAACATGACTATGATATTGTGATTGGGCTTTTTCCATAAAAGAAACAAAAAAAAAAAAAAAGAGTTAAATAGGATTGAAAATTTTTCCTTTTTCCATAAAGTTCAAGAAACTGTTGAAGTAACAACGTGGACTGACCAGTGCAAGTTTTTTTTAACATCACATTCCAAAACTTTTCGCAAAATATCAGGATCCGTTTATTTTTACAACGATTTTATTTAAGTTCCAATAAAAAATTGAGTCATATTTTTACGTTATTCAAAGTACTAACGGAAATTCAGAACTACACTCCACATACTCCCATCATCCCATGACCCTGAACTTCATGTACAAAGCTATGTTTTCAAACCGGACCGGATTGGGCGATCGAACCGATTAACCTAGGAACCGAAAGCTTTATTGGTCCAATTTCTATAAAAAAAAACAGATTTTGTATACCCAATCAAACTTGGTGAAATCGGGGCAAAATCGCGATTTGAACGGAAATCGATATCGATTGAACCATGTTTTTACATTTATTTTTAAAAAAAATAATTCTTAAATAATTTTTTAATATTATTTTAACCGATTTTCACCGATTTTGAGAAACGAGTTAACCGGTTAATTCAATAAACCCATAAAAAATCAGATTTTGTATACCCGATCAAACTTGGTGAAATCGGGATAAAATCGCGATTTGAACGGAAATCGATACCGATTGAACCATGTTTTTACATTTACTTTTAAAAAAAACTTAATTCTTAAATAATTTTTTAATATTATTTTAATCGATTTTCACCGGTTTTGAGAAACGAACTAACCGGTTAATTCAATAAACCCACCAACTCCTGTCACGCTAACGGTTCACTTTTCGGTCCGATATTAAAAATATAGGTACAAAGTGATTCTTCTTTCTCAAAACTCAATGGTTTTAGTTCAACAAAAAAAAAGTTTTATGACAACATAACTTTGAGAGCAAAGTAACGGCTAATCACAACTTTGTGACAATCACAAGTTCCTCTAATGATTGCACGGAAGATCATGTCTCATCCACTTACTAAAATAATATTAATTTATATTATTATTATTATTATTAGTATTATTATTATTGGGGACACTAGTTCAATAGCTAAACATGCAACAATTTACAAGAAGATTTTGGAGGAAACCCAAAATCACAGCTCCAAAACTCAAAGAGCTAGTTCAAAATCAGACACATATATATGATAATTTCGATTATTATTTCATACTACTAAATATTTAGGAAGTGGGCTGACACTCGGTTGGAAATCCCTGAGGAAAACGCTTGGTGTCAGTGCAGTAATTGTAGATCATATAATTCTTCTGCACCCATCTTAATTTCCTTTCCCCGACAATATCCAGATTCTCCGACAGATTCTGATCATTGTTAACGTTGGACGACGACGACGACAATGAAGCAGAAGTAGTACAAGAAGATGGTTGTGAATCTCCGGCGGAAGATAAACTGCAATAATGTGGTCTAGCACTGAAACCTCTGTATGATGCAACAAATGGTGACTGAGCCCAATCAATCTTCACTTGCCCTCCTCTGGTTGCCCATTCATCTGCATTCCACAGGCTTGAGTAGATCTTCATCGGTTGGTTTTTGGGAAATTGTACCCCTTTTGATTCCAGATTCTTGAACTCCCTAATTGGAACATTGTCAACATAGAAGCTGCAGCAGCATGAAACAGAGGCATTTAGTTTTGAGAATACTTAGGAACATCAAATTGGGAAAGTTTCCTAAAACAAATTGACTTACATTACGGTTGATGGATTCCAATGAACCGAATAGGTGTGGAAATCAGCTGTAGGATCAAACCATAAGTGAAATTGCTGTTCCCTTTCGCCTTTGCCCTGAGTGTACACATTTGTATGAACAGTATAAGGCTCCCCACTGAGATTTCCAAGGAATTCAAAGTCAATTTCATCATGGGTTGGTCCAACTGATGACAACTGCAATATATACCAAATATAGCAAAAAAACAACTATAAGTTGTTAAATTTTATATAATAATCACTTAATCAAACTGGAATCATTATCTAAGTTTCAGAAAAATGTACGTAATAAGCAGTGACAGTGCCAGCAGAGTTGTTAGGGACTAATTTGATCTGCATATCAATTGTCCCAAACAAGAATTCCTTCTTGGAAATGAACCCAGAGCCAGAAATGTTGTCCAATGACAAAGTAAGAAGTTCACCCTCGTTGAGAATCTTTCCCCTGTAATCTCCCCAGTTTATCTCAAACTCTTCATTGAAATTAATACCAGCAAAAGACAGGGGAAGAACAGAGGATATAATAACTCCAACCAGAGAAATAGTCAGAACCAATTGGAAAGAAAACGAGGCCATTTAGTAGCTACCAGTAAGTAAAAAGAAAAGCTTGATCTTGGTGATGAGGAAAATAAAGGGTCACGGAGCTACTAATTTATAGTGGCAATGACGATTCATGAAGGCACAGAATATACACGATCATCCTCAGCATTCACCAAATAACGTTACATTTTACCTTCTGAAAATGTGGGAAAAAGTAAACCTTGAAACTGGAGACAAAAAAGAATTCTGAGTTGTGAACAGCTGTGTTGGAGATAAGCATAACGCATGCAATATATGTATAAAAAAACAGGGTCAAAAATTGTGTTGGCTCAATAGGCCATTGCCAACACTTCAAAGATGAATAGTTTTAAATTTAGTATATTATAAAAGGAGGTTTCTTTTTTTGGGCTCTGAATTTGCAGAAGATTGTTTCTTTCTGCCGACTCATTCCGTTTTTTAACTCAGATCCAAATTATCCTTCATGGGTTCATTTGCAATTCTCTCAAAAGTTCACAAGTGAATTGAGTGAGGAGGGGGGTCATAAATTCTGCACCAAATTCAGGAGTACGTGTCTATGTGTGTTGTTGGAACCGTGAGCTGCTTTGATCTTGTGCTGGCATGCAGACGGAATGCAGAGTTTAAAATTTTTATTGATATTTGTAAAAAAAGAACAGAGAGAAATGGTCTAGAGAAATGCAGCAAGCAGCAGAGCTTTGGTTATTGGAGGAATCGGGTAATATAGTAGTATATGTGTTATGGGGGAGTTACAGAGTTATAGACAGAAAGCACATTTTGGAAATGAAGATACTGACTTAATTCGGACATCATTTAGCTAATAATACGAATCAAATTCACCACGGGAGAGAAACTACTTGTTTATATTTGTCTCCAAGGCATTTATTTTTTATTAGTTTCTGCAAAACAGTCAATTTGATTTAAAAAGGACGACTGCCGTTTTTTTTTTTTGTGTAACCAGATAATATAGTCAAGAAATCCGTATTAAAATGATAGTTTAATGATTCGGTGAAATTTTATTTATAACGTGTTGGATAGTTTGGTGAAATCCATGTACATTAAATTGATAAAAAAAATAATCATTCTGTTCCGAAATTATTAGTATCTAGTTTGGATTTTTATTTTTTGTACAATTAATTCACGTATATTAATGTGATAGAAATACTCCTTCTGTCCAGAAATTTGAATTTCTATTTTTTATAATTTTTTGTACAGGAGGAGTATGTATTACTTGTTGGATATTGTGGTGACTGTTGGATCATTAACTTAAAACAATGAAACCATTTATCATCTACTGGCCACCAACTTGATTGGAAAATGGAATTTCAAAAATATTCGTAAGTAGAAACTTTTTGTAGCTCAGTCTGTTTCTTTTTCATTTAAATTATCATGTACTACATTGATATATGATGAGTGTTGTTAGTCCATCCCAGAATTCAAAGACAATGTGTTCATCATATAATACTTGCTTAAGTGTCAGTGCAAATTGCATCATCCGTTTGATTTTTACTTTTATTTCTTTCATATCTCAACCTTTTGCAATAATTTCGTCAACATAATACAACATAATATATTTGCAAACAAACATTGCAAGAACTTTTTATTCATTACAAAATTTCATAATTTACATGTATTTTATGTAGCGTGTAACAAAAAAAATAAAAATCATGAGAAGTAATTATCTTAATGCACAATATTTTAGGTGTTTATGGTGCATTCTGGAGGAAATCCCTGTGGAAAACGCCTGGTATCGGCGCAATAATTATAAATCATATAATTCTTTTGGGCCCAATGGAGCCTGGCTTCACTTGTGGAATCCAGTTCTTGTGAGAACCATGGCATCTTTGTTGAGTTTGTTCCACAAGAGGATTTCCCATTTGCCCATACACAGGCATTTGCCTTGTAGTTTCTGAATGAAGCATTAAATGGAGCCTGTGACCAGTCTGTCTTGACAAGCCCACCTCTTGTGGCCCAATCTTCTGCATCCCATAGACTAGCATACACCTTCATGGGCTGGTTGTTTGGGTACGGAATTCCCTTTGAGGCTGAGTTTCTGAACACTCTAATTGGTGTCCCATCAACATAGAAACTGTAGAAGAACACACAAGCAATATCAAGAGTTAGAGGTTGGTAAAATTAGTAATCTCAGAAATTTGATGTTATTGTTAATTACAATGATTCGATCATGTCAGTGATATTGAAATGATCTCATTTTAATAGTGATCGTGATTAATACAGTTGATGTTAGATTTAAGTGTTTAGAGAGAGAGAGACAAATATTTTACTGATGAGACACGATTGATACACAATAAGTGAGACAGATGATCTGATGGTTCTCGAAACAGACAGTTACAAAGCAAACCGGATTTTGTTTAGTGTCGTAACACTTACATGATCGACAAGGGATTCCAGAGGATGGAATAGGTATGGAAATTAGCAGTTGGATCAAACCAAAGATAGAATTGCTGTTCCCTTCCTCCTTGGCCCTGAGTGTAGACATTTGTGTGCAAGATGTAAGGATCACCACTTAGGTTACCCAAGAACTCCAAATCTATCTCATCATGATTTGACCCTTGAGATGATAACTGCATGATCATTAATTCAACAAAGTGGAATCAGACAAGTCCAGTATCAACAATGTCAAAATAAAAGCTAACAAGTTTGCGGTAATTATACGGTATTCATCCACCTAACTGTGTGTTGTTAGTCAAAAGTTAGATTGCTTGGTACATTTTTTTTAAAAAAATCTTTTTTTAATCTTTTTTTTTTAACTTCAAAAGGGTGGTGGAAAGTACTATGATGATCATCTCAATAAACCTGTTTTCCATACTCTTTCAGCACCTTATTTTTTACCTGGAAATATGTCTTGTATTAATGTTTTTTTTAATGTAACATGCACTAAGTAATACATCAAATATTGAAACCAAATGAATAAGGTGAAAACGAGTAAGGGGATAGATATTTAATTACTTACATAATAAGTTGTGACAGTGCCAGCGGAGTTGCCAGGGACAAGTTTGAGCTGCATATCAATCCTTCCAAACAAATACTCCTTCTTGGACACAATCCCTGAACCAGAAGTTTTGTCGAGTGTAAGAGTTAAAAGTTGGCCATTGTTGAGATATTTAGCACGTCCATCGCCCCAATACACATCAAATTCTTGATTGAAGTTTGAACCAGCAGCCAATCCAGGCTTTACTAAGCAACTAAACAGCAAAATAACCCGTACAAACAACGAGAGAAACGTATAGTAGGAATTGGAACAACAAGTAGAAGAAGATGCCATTTTCAAGAACACTTTGGTGTGGTTTTTTTTTTTTTTTGGTGTGGAGAATTGGAGGATTTGTATTGGGTATTTATATAAGTGTGTGTGGTTTGACGTTAAGGAAAGTTCGAATTAAGTTGTATGGAGTTTGGTGAACTTAGCAATGGGCAAATGACAAAATGAACAATGAACAATTAACAGCTGGCTAATGGCTAAAGTCCACCACGCAATTTGGAGGTCCCCCAATGAATCTGATGTGGCCGCTTATGGGGAGCTTTCCCAAGTGGGGTTTTGACTCCACTAAGTAATCACATCGGTAACAACAACAACATCATATTATTGGTTTCACTTAATGTGTAGTTTATTAATTGTGTCTTAAACGTAAATTGTCTCTAATTAAGAATCGTGTTTATTATCTGGTGTGATATTATAACCTGATATATTCATAACAAAAGAGTACTCCCTCCATTCCAAAATAAGTGTTGTTTTAGCAAAATAGAGAAATTCCAAAATAAGTATCGTTCTCATATTTCAATGCACTTTTTGTCAAAAATTTTCAATATTACCCTTAAAAGAGTTGATGCTATTGGTGGACAATTTTATAATGGAGTTAGTTGAAGATATTCAAGTAATTTTATTACCCTATTTAAGAGTTTTTTAAACTATGTGCAAAGTGCAGGACGACACTTATTTTGGAATGGAGGGAATATTCTGTTGTATACTTATGTTGTTATACAGACAAAAAAACGATGTATAGGAAGTAAATAAAGAAATTTGTACTAAAAATTTTCCTCATACGATTTTTCATTGTAATCTCTTGAAAATGGGATGGGTGCATCTTCATCCATCGTCATCATTATCTTGAAATACAGTAAATAGACCACTAGTTTAACTAATTGGTCATCATTATCTTTAACACATCATCATCAAGGAAGCAATATAATTTAAAACGTTTCCATCATTATTTTGACACGGGTTCATTGAGTTTTATTGGAATGGAATAATGATGGGAAGGAATGAATGAATTCAAAGGCGCAATGCATTTAGTTTTACAAAGACTTGGAAGAACTAGGGGCGGCAGTGGAGTAGGAAGGGAGGTGTAAAAAGCGGTCTGAAACTAAGCTGGAAAATGTGCATATATTACCTCATCTAGTAACTTCTATTGGCTCCTCGAAACCACGCTGTGGACCAAATTAAAATCGGATCTTTGTGCCCCAAATTATTAGTATTAATTTCTGATGGCAAAAAAGAGATCACCAAATTCAGGAAATTCCTGGAATGAACGATTCTAAAGGAAACATAATGAGTTTATTTTAATGCAAATACCACCTTTATTACGAGTATGTTATTCTAAATTGAACAGAGATTTTTCTCTGTCTTACGTTACAAGTATTTACTCCGTCTCAAAATTATCTAATTTGATATTTTTATTTTAGTATAAATTATATACTAAAAATAAAAATTCAAATTGTTTAAAACTCACTTATTTTTCTAAGACGGATCAGAAGCGGAAAAATAGCTGTTATTTGTTGCTTATGGGATGCAACATGATTGGTACAATTTGAGATATGACTCATTTCCAGTCAATTCTGTTTTTTTTCCTATCTGAGATAATTAACAGAATGTGAAGTATTACTAAATGAGAAGATTGAACCAAATGGTTGGGTTTCTGTTTTTGTCTCGATGTTGAATTATTGATCATTTTGATCGGCTTCCTTTATATGTGTAACAAGAGATCGATGTGACATTTACGTAAGATATCAAGATATTAACTAGAGTATGTAGATTGGCATTGTCGTCCAGACAATTATATGAACTCTTGAAGGAGAGTATCTAACAAGGGGTCAATGCAGATGGGAAGCTAGAGTACGTAACTAACAGCAAGAGGCTCATTGGAGAAAGGTTGGATAAGCCTATTAAGCCATGCCACGGGAAAAGGGTGATAATTATGAAGATATCAATGCTTATTACTCCTTCCGTCCCACAAAAATAGTCTAGTTTCAAAATGTATGACTTTTTTAATTTGGTCAATCTCACCAAGGTACAACTCATTTTTATGATATGAACTTCCAGTTTTACCCTAATTAAAAATTTAATTAGCGAAACTATTATCCATTAATTTAGAACTGATGATGAGCCCCTTACTTTCCACCAATCGGGACATTTGTTTTGGGTAGGTCATTTGATCCATAAGTTGCCGGCGTATTACCATTTTATTCTTAATTACTGTAGACACATCAGTTAATATGTATTTTTACTTATTTTTTTTACTATCTATATTATTGCTCTTTTAAGAATATGGGAACGAAATGTATATTTAAAACATTCTTGGAAGCAAAATATATTTGCAAGAATCCAAGAATTTTAGACTAAAATTTTATCCTTAAAAAAAATTTGAAAAATCAAGGGTGTGCTGGTCCTCTCCCTACACCCATGAATTTCACATACTTCACAAAAATAAAGTACTCCGTAATATATAGTACCAAAAAAAAAAAAAAACGCATCCTTTCATAAAATCTACTAAAATATATGTATAAAAAAAGGTGATTGCAATTTTGTTTGTTTGTTTTATCGAGAATATCATGTTTTGTAGGTACTCCTGCACCACAATTCCACCAAACAACAAGCAATCCGATAGATCCAAATAATAAATAAATAAAATAAATAAAAAAGATCAAGAAGGGTGAACTTGAAATAAATTTTTCGATATTTTTTGTCCCAATAATGAAAACGAAAGCAATGAACTCCAATCTTTTGACTCATGAAGTGTATCTCATTCAACACAATTTAGTCAAACAAATATCCATCCGCCAACAACTTAGAACATACTATCAAATAAACAAAACTTAATGGCTTACATCAATTATTTAATTTTTCAATAATAGAACCTAAATCTAACACAATTTCTAACTCATTAATTAATCTCATTTCGAATCCATCACTTTACTGTTCCCTCTCCTTGACCTTGAACGACGTTTACCACGTCGTGGCTTCCGCGGAACAACAGTGTTCCTATTGTTATTGTTGTTATTATTGTTATTGTTCTCGACCATATTACTGCTAATTCTGTTACTGTTTCTATCATTACTTTTTGGTTTATCGAGAAGACACTCAGGAGCAAGTCCCTCTGGAAATCTCCAGGGGTCTTCACAATAATTGTACACCATATGCTTCTTTTGTATCTCTTTGATCCTTTCCCGGGTCTTGGAATCGAGCTCTTCATTTAGCCAAGAATTGTCTTCGGAGCTTGGATCAGATGAATCGCAAGAAGATGTCTTGGTTCTTTGGGACCATATGCAAGCTTGAGCGTCATAGTTTCTGTAAGAAGCCGTAAATGGTGCTAAACTCCAATCGGTCTTAACTCGCCCGTGTTGAGTTGCCCATTCATCTGCGTTCCAAAGGCTTGAGTATATTCTCATGGGCTGATCTTTTGGGTATGGAACTCCAATTGTTTTCTCCATGTTTTTGAACTCTCTTATAGGTATACCATCCACCGAAAGCCTGTCATAAAATACAAAAAAAAGTATCACAGAATTCTTGTTAAGAATTCATTTATTAAAATTGTTACGGAAAATGTTTTATACCTTAGAAGTAAAATCAAGTACATTAGAACTTACACGATGCATTTGGGATTCCAAAGGAAGGAGTAAGTGTGGAAATCTTCAGTTGGATCAAACCAGAGGAAGAACTGCTGTTCCCTATTGCCTTTGCCTTGGCTAAACACATTAGTATGAAGAGTGTAAGGATTGCCACTTGAATTTCCCAGGAATTCAAAGTCAATTTCATCATGGGTTGACCCTTCTGATGACAACTGCGCCATGTCCAATTGATATGTAGTTAGACATTAGGCCCATGCATCACATTCGTCAAGTTAATGAACAGGGGAAATCAGTTAGATTGTGCTTTCAACTTGTTATTCTAATCAAAGAAAACTGTCCTTGATTTGAAAATGAATCTTAAAACTATTTTCAAAATGAAGTAAGAAAGCACATTAATAAATCACAAGTAAGCGACCATATGAGCAATTTGTTCCCAAAAAAATGGTCATCAAAGACAGAGGCTTACATAATAGGTAGTGACTGTGCCAGCAGAATTTCCTGGAACGAGTTTTATTTGCATATCAATCTTCCCAAATAGATATTCCTTCTTTGATTCAAACCCTGATCCTGATATTCGATCAAGCGAAAGTGTAAGAAGTTCACCGTTTTCTTGTATCTGAGCACGTTCTTCTCCCCATGACAGAATGAAGTTACGGTTGAAGGTACCATTTGCCCTGTTAACAAAAAGTATTTGTTGATTGCAAGACATTGGGAATTATTAATCTTTCATTTCATTAAGAACCCAAAATAACAAAAATAAATTCGAGTAATCGGAAGTTGAGGTTTTCAAAAAATGACGCATTCTTGAAGAATTAATTGAATGTTGACATACCTAGTTGTTGTTGCATATGGTTGTACGAAACGCCTTGGTGCGGTCGCTCTTCTTCGAGCAGAGAAGATCGATTGAGAAATCAAAATGTCAACCTGTTATCACATTTATTGACCTTAAAATCAACCTTTCAGCAAACACATGCACCTTGGTTGTATATCTAACGTTAAATTTGCAAAATGTTAGGAGAAACGACAATGAAGGTTGACATGGGATTATTTAAATTACCTTGAAGACAAGAAATGTAGCGAAGGCAAGAAGTAGGAGATAAGGAATAGAAGAAGATGAACTCTTGGACCTGGTTTGGTTGGGATGGTGGTATCTCGATGGCATTGCCATTGTCTTTTGATTTTTCCACTGATGAAATTGTGTTGTTGCTTCATGATCATCTTTGCATTACCATATTTCTCGTAGCCCTTCATTTTTTTTGGCCTTCAGTTTTATTATTGCTAACTAATGTATGTATATGAATTCTTTTGATTTTTGAGTGTTTTCTTTGGTTATTTTGGGAATGTTGTTTGCTCCTTTCTCCATTCACTTTCCACGTCTCTTGCATATTCACCCAAATTTCTGTGGCTGTGAATTGTTATATGGCATATAGTTCCCACGATTATTAGAATTTAGTGAGCAAGATAGTATTTTCTAAGGTGATGATGCAGCCAGTGAAAGATTACAAAAAAATTTTTATAATTGATAGATAAGTGGTAACCCATAAAAGTATCAAACCACACAATCAAAGTCTTCTTTGTAAATGCCATCTCAGTGAAAAGGAATAACAATCGTCTGCTCCTCTTATATATTTGTCGCGTTATTCACTATATCATTCCACAATATAATTTTATTCGTCTTATCATTCTTCTATTTTCTATCAGTTACTCTTGAATTTCTGAATATTAATAAGTTTAATTTAGCAAAGATATAACACATTACCAATAATCTTCAAGAGATAATAATACTAATAAAAAAGATTATCTCAAATTCTCAATATATGCATGAATCAAAGAATTACACCCCAACAAAAGTGCCGCAATCTGATTTTTAATTTTTTATTTCTTTCCCCCCTCTCAAGCACTTTCAAATGCACATTCAGGAGGGAAGCCTTGAGGAAATCGCTTAGAATCAGAGCAATAATCGTAAACCATATACTTCTGCTTCACCCATTTGAGCTTTTCTTGGCTCGTGTTATCCAATTCCTCGTTCAGCCATGATTGACCACCGTCCGAATTTGTGATGCTGCTGCAGGAAGATGAGGAAGAAGCAGAGGACCAAACACAAGCTTTGTCGTCATTGAAATTCCGGTAAGAAGCTGTAAACGGGGCTTTGCTCCAATCCGTTTTAACGAGCCCACCTCGGGTTGCCCATTCATCAGCATCCCACAAGCTCGAGTAAATCCTCATTGCCTGATTCTTGGGATAAGCCACTCCAACTGTTTCTGGATTCTTGAATTCTCTTATTGGAGTCCCGTCAACCGAAAACACGATTCTTTGCGGGTTCCAGAGGATGGAATAAGTGTGGAAATCAGCAGTCGGGTCGAACCAGAGATGGAATTGCTGCTCCCTGCCGCCTTTCCCCTGGCTGAACACATTTGTATGCAGAGTGTACGGATCGCCGCTGAGATTTCCCAGGAATTCGAAGTCGATTTCGTCGTGGGTCGCTCCGAGTGACGATAAATAGTAAGCGGTTACAGTTCCGGCGGAGTTTCCAGGCACCAGCTTGAGTTGCATATCGATTTTCCCGAACAAGTATTCCTTCTTGGATTGGAAGCCCGACCCGGAAGTTGTGTCCAGCGTGAGAGACAAAAGCTCTCCATTGTTGAGAATTTTAGCCCGGCCATCTCCCCAGGTGATATCGACGTCTCGATTAAAGTTGTTGCTGGAAGATACAAGAAATGTGCAGCTTGCAATGGTCGATATCAAAATCAAAACCCTAACCAAATTTGAATGAGAAGAAGCAGCCATTGGAAATACTTGTGTTTTTGTTGGTTGATATCAGGTAGGAGAACAGAGGATCAAGTTTGAAACTTTGCAATGTTGGGAAATTGGGATGATGAAAATGGAATGTGTTTTGAGGTATTTATAGCCATTGGGGGAAGGCAAGAGGAGGGAGTGGAAGAACAGAGGAAATTTCCATGGAGTGGGTGAAAAAAGTAGGGCTCTGATTTTGATATTTTATCTGGGCTGGACAGTGGACACAGATGTCCAGTATGAGCTGTGACAAATTAAGAGACAAAGGCGGTGAATAAATCTTTACTGACCAGTAGCAACAGCGTAATCAATATCTTTTCAGATTTTTTTTTTCTTTCACTCCATTAAATATTAGACACGGATGAATATTTTGCAGGTTCTCAAAATTATAGATTGCAGAATTAACGTTCATGAAATTAAATTACTAGTACCGACCAATATGGAGCATGTCTAACATCAAGATGTAATTGAGTCTGTTTGATAAAAATTAGTGATTATTTCTGAATACTTAATACTGAATCCATTAAACAGTTAAAGAATAAATAATAAACTAACTTTTATTGTTTATATTTTGTATTGATGTTTCAGAACCACTTAATTCATTAAGAGATTCATTTTTTGTTATCAAATGTGCTAAAATGAAAAAATACTTCATCAAATAATTTTAAGTTTTAAGTTGGGTTATCAAACAGGAATAATAAACTATAAACTTTCGATTTTTGAGATATAACTATTTCAATATGAGGAATTTTTGGTCTTGTAACTTCGAATTAGGAGAATAGTGGTAACTGTGGCCGAGTTAAACAGCTTTCGGAGATGCAGCTGTTTTTGTGTGGGGAGGAGCCTTCTAGGAATTGGGCTTATGAGTTCTGACTGTCAAAACTCAAAAAAGGTTGGGTTGGTTTGCTTTGGACACTCACTGCCTACCCAACAGTATGAGTATGGCTTAAGGCTAACTTCACCTACCCCACTTATCGTCATTACTGTATGTGACCCTGTTGTAAGTTGTAACCAGCTTTTGGGCACCCTTTTTGATAACACATTTGTGAAAAATTTTGTGCACTCCAAGAAGACTTCATTCATTTGTCGGAACCATTCTTCCACCCCCGTTTCCTAGAGGACACATACCACCTCGGAAATGAAATTGGTATGGCATTCTAGTAATGGCCTGCAATTAAAGGATTATACACCAATCAAATTTTTCTGCGTGAAAAGACAGGCTGATTCAAGGTACTCCCTCCATTCACAAATAAATATCATTGGAGATTTCATAAAATTTAAAGAAACAATAATTATCTTGTTAAAATATTATAATATCCTTATTCACTCTTAATACAATTATAGTCCCAATCATAGTAGTTAGTATCGTACGCAATACATATTGCACGATACGTATCAAAATTAAGGATTTCGATGTGTATCATGGTATTTATCGTAATCCTTTGTGTATCGATCAATTACCGATACGCATTGTACGATACATACGATACACGATATGATTGTGTATCGTACGATACAAAAATATAGGCAATAAATAATTTTTTTCTTAAAAGAATTCAAATTATTGTTTCATAATAACCATTAAATTTCAAATTAAGAACAAATTTCATTATAATTTGTTTTAAATAGATATTTTTTATTATTTCTTTCAGAAACATACTCATTCTTAATTGATGATAAAATTGCTTAATAAATTATTTACTTTTAAAAAATAAAATAATTAAAATATAATTTTATTCATAATATCCTTTAAGTCAAGTACAACTAATAACATGTTAAATGAATGCAATACATATTTATATTAATTTTCTCACTATTAAATTTATGGGTATAATAATATGAAAAACAGTAGTTATCACATATGTTTTACGACCATTATTCATTTAATAAATGAGTAGTTTGTGTAACTTTCAAATAATCTTTAATTCAACTTAATCAATTTATTGTTTATAACTGAAAAATAAAAAAATATATAAATATATCAATTACATATGGAGTTTATGATATTTATTATTTATTATATATATTATATTAAAACGTATCTTACGATACGATACACAATACGATACGCGTTTCATAAATTTAGATTTCCGATACACAATACGTACCACGGTTTGATAACTATGGTCCGGATACCGTTTACTTCTAATACAATTCTACATTGAACATCATTCAAATTTCCAATGTAAGGGTAGTATTGGAAAAAATTGACAAAACATGTCTCGATTTGTGAGAACGACATGTATTTTGGAATATTTAGTTTTTCCTCCAACGACATCTATTTGTAAATGGAAGGAGTATAGACTATTGGCCTCCGATATAACCGTAGGACTAGAAATTTTACTTGTTACCCTCTAACTTAAAAAAATGTAGTTTGTATGAATATGATTTTATGGTTAAATATTTTTATAACAATATATGAGTTTTTCATACGGTATCAATACTACAACAAATTAACTACTAGCATCATGACAATAATTATTTATTAATTTATTTTCATCCTTCTAAATCAGTATGTGTGCTTGAGATCAAGATGTCTACTTAGTTATCTTCACAATATTTCCTTTTAATATTTGTTAAACGCACTTTTGGTCCCTAAACTTGGGGGTCACAACTTCGAGTCACTATTAATTTTTGACTGACGAAATTGGTCACCATCATTTCGTTTATTCACCAACTTTAGTATATTTAACGGAATTTATGGTCAATTAACGGGTCAACGCTTTTCTCTGTTAAAATTTTTAATTTTTTATTAATTTTATACTGAATTGAGACCCGCAATGTATTTTTACATAACAAAATCAGTCCCCTAATATCTTTTTTTCCAACAAATTTAGTCAATTTAAAAGTTATGGCCCAATTTATTTTTTCGTTATATCTTTATTTTTTTATTAATTTCTTAATAGATTATAGGCCCCACGAGTCTTTGATCATAATTTTTTTTAAAAAAAAAGAATAATGAAACTATTTCTGGCCAACTTCTTAAATCCCAACATTCTGCTCCCCTACGTCTCACCATCAGGTCCCTGCCACCAAAATAGCTCAGAAAATGAGCTTCATTATTGATTGTTTTCTTTATTGAGGGTTTTTTTTGTTGGGGTTTAGGAAGTTGGCTGGATGCTTTAATTATTCCTTTAATTTGTTTTTATTTTTAAAAAAAATCTGATAAAAAACCCGTGGAACCTACAATCTATTAAGTAATCAATAAAAAAATAAAGATTTAAAAGAAAAATGAATTGGGCTATTAATTTTTTGAAATTCTGTTAAAGTGACTAAAATTGTTAAAAAAAAAAATGAGGACTGATTTTATTGTTTAAAAATACATTGTGGGTCCTAGATTAGTAAAAATTAATAAATTTAACAGAAAAATGAGTTGACCATTTGTTGACCATAAATTCCGTTAAATGGACTAAAATTAGTGAATAAACGAAAAGATGGTGACCATTTTTGTCAGTGAAAAATTAATTGTGACTCAAAGTTGTGACCCCCACAATGTTTAGGGACCAAAAGTGTGTTTTGTCCAAAATAATAATACTACCTCCGTCCCAAAAAAAATAGACCACATTGAGTTTTGAGATTTGCACTAGTTTTAGTACAAACTAAAAAGCTCAATGTGGACTATTTTTCTGGACGGAAGGAGTAAAAAAATTCTTTTTTCATAACAATGTGGGTTTGAGACTCTTTAATAATCCCCGCCAAACCCAACGTATTTTTTGGGTTGGGCTTTTCCTATTTTTTTAGTCCAGACACGGCCTCACGTCTCAACCCTTTTTTTTGTTGGTTATTTTTTTGGAGTCTGAATGTCGACGAGCCGGCTTTAATACCATATAGAAGCCCATGAGTTTTCACATCAAAACCAATTGACTATGAGAGGACTCAGAGTCTCCCAACACTGATGTGAAATTGAGACTATTTAATAAAGTCCAACTACAATTGTTTTGGAATTTTATTTCCATTGAGTAATCTAAGTGTGACATATGCATATTTAGAATTCTTTCATGATTCTCGTAAGAAAGTAGTACTCCCTCTGTCCCATAATTATTGATTATTGTTCAGTTTGAGATTTTACTTCCAGTACAATTTGAACTAGAAATACAAACCCAAATCAGACAATAATTATGAGATGGAAGGAGTACTAAATTAATTAAAAGGACACTCTAGTCTCTAAAGAATGATAAGTTAGAACGTCCTTTGGTAGAGCTGCCTTTGGCTCTTTGGCTCATTCCCCACACGTGGTATATCTGTTGCAACAAGAGTCTCCACGTCCAGGTTTGATAACAACCTTTTCAACTGATGTAGCCATTTGAAGCAAGTACAACACAAACCTAAACTCAGTTCCATATAAACCCGAATTAATCAGCTTCACCACCCTAAGATGTTCATGGCGGTAAGTTTTAAGAAGTTCTTTGGCCCTAAAGCTTTGATAACCGTGCGGATCAGCTGCTTTGAAACCCTGAGGCATTGCAAATTCAGGCATAACAGTTAGAACAACGAATTAAAATCGACAAACATAATACTAGTAATAATAATAATAATATTGACACAGAGGGTCCAACCAGATTTTTTGCACCAGGAATAAGTCAACTGCCACAAACAAAGAATACCAATGTTGTTAGACAAGATAATTAACAAGTAAACCAACTTAGATCAATGGAAAAAAATGCTCGAACACCGTTTTTCTTTTCACTAAAAATAAAATGCATGATGTTCTTCATAAAGCCTTTCGTTAGTTTAGGCACAAGAAACAAGCGAATGCATGTTGAGGAGTATATATATAATCACCTGAACCACAAATGTGGACAAGAAAGGTGCTATATTGATTACCAAGAAAAGTAGACAAGGCATCGACATTGCTTGGGGTAGAACTCCAGCTCCAGATGTTTGAGGCATTGGAATTTAAGAGTATATTTGAATCTCAAATCAATCTCCTCAAGTGGCGGAACTTGCTTGAAAAACAAAAAAAAAAAAGAAAAGAAAATGGTTTTTGGACAAGCTAGTAATTCAATAACAATTAATTCAAGATAAAAGAAGAAAAGAAAGAAAAGATCACTGCTATGGATGAATTTCTTACATGGGTATTCAGGCGCAGGACGAGCTTTTTCAATTGGTTGCGACATTTGAAATACCGTTTGAAGATAGCGATGTATCCGAACTGCTGAACTATACCTGACCTCAGACAGCAAGTCACATTCTCATAATCAATCTTTGCTCCTCTTGCAATTAGACGTTCGTACAGGACTCCAGTGAAATGAAAAGAGAAAAGCTCTGGTGCCGAAATAGATATCTTCGACAAAGAAAAACAGCAAGACACAACCAGAGAATTGGGAGATGGACAAGCCTTAATATTGAGACTGGTCGGACCACGAAGATTATCGAGTTTGAGATGTTGAAGAATTGGAGAGTTGGATAAAAGAAATTCCATCATATCTTGCTCGATGCTAATCCAGGACAGTGTGAGAGACGTTAATGAGAGAATTTTCCTTACCCTTGCGACTGACAAAAATTTCTCTAAGTCAGGAAAGCGGAAACTAGAGAAATATTCAGTGTCCAAATTCCACTCAATAACTCGCACATCCTGTTGGATTGCAAACTGAACCCAATCAGCAATACAGTCTGAAGAAGAAGAAGAATCCCACGGAACTTCATCGCAGCGAACAATGAACTTATCAACAGATGGGGCTTGGTGTAGTTTAAGGATTCGATTCACCAGGGACACAAAATCAGGAGAACAGTTCTTCTTATATTTAGCTCTTGAAGCTTTTGAAAAGCAATCCAAGTCAAAGTCTAAGACTCCCAGAGGTAATCCTCCACAAGTGTTTCCATCTCTTGGACAGGACACAATAATACCTAAAATCTCACCTGGGTAGTATCTCTATCCTCCTGTTTTCCCATCCATTGGTGACCTTTTGCTTCTTCAGATCCATACGGAAGATAAAATTTTTTTTTAAAAAAAGAAAAACCCCGAAGCCTTAAATCAGGCAAGTAAAATAAAAAGACTCGATCTTTTACAATCGTAAACATCTTAGACATGTATTTATCCGGCCAGCTTCCAAAACAACCAGAGTCCAGAGATATGCAAGGAGACATTGAAGAAGAAAAAAAAAAAAACCCAGGGGAAATACTAAATTCGGATTACTCAATTTTGACAGCAATGTAGAACACAAAGATTTTTAAAAAGAGCTTATTATAGACGAGATGATATCTTCTTAAATAATGCTTAGGGTTGTTGCAACGAGAGGGTTTCGCCTTCATTATTTGTTTCTCCTCTGTATCTTCCGCGAGCTCGCGAATTCAAATAGTTCTAGTTTAGGAGCGGCCGAGAGGGGAAACCAATAATGTTTTTTTCCCAATGTCTTCGTAGATTTTCTATCGATGTTCTAACTTTTAACAATACAGCCCTAACGTTTAAAGGTCGTAGTTCATTTAGTCCCACGAGACTCAAATCATATCCTTCTTCTTTACTTAAAATACGTAATTAAATTCTCTTCTTTTAGGCCATATTTTTCTATTTTAATATGTAAAAAGAATCTATCATGGCGAGGATTTTATAAAACGAGCATGGTTTGGTCACGTTCTTAAGTAGATTATGATGTAATTTCATTGACAAAATTGGCTAGAAGTTCCAAAGGTTAGAAACTGTATTGTTAACAACTAGAATATGTATGAGGAAAAAATCGACAAAATGTCCCCAACGTTGGGGAGAAAATCAGCACACAATTTTTTGCAATACGGGAATAACAAAAAACACCCGAGATTTGACCTAAGAACGTATGGATCAAGATCCACTCTCCATAAACCAGAAACATTCATTTAATTAATTTTTTTACTACAAATATCAAAACACCGCTCGCCACTAGAACAAACCTAGTAAAGGAAGGTGACAATTCAGCAATGACAGAGATAGTGATTTGAGGTGGTAAAAAGTAACAACAATAAAACTTATATTATTGAAACCAGACGTCCTAGCTAGTCAGAGGTGAGACCAATGGCACTTCGACCAGTAACTAGACAAAACTGGCCAACTATGGGTATCTGGTTTTTTTTTCCTTCAAAAAGAAATTTATAGTTTCACCATTTTTCTGCTTTTACACCATTTTCTCAAAATTTTCCAAATTATTTAATCGTATCCTTAAAACCAATGTTTGCAGGATCGCGATTCTACATAGGATCGAAATGGGGTCACAAGATCGGATCGTAAACGGGATCGGTAGGATCAGAATAATAGAATCGTAAAATTAATTATACATGTTATATAATTAATTGATTTAATAATTAGGTTTATTATCTTTAAATAAAGTATTTAACATTTAAATGAAAAGAATTGTGTAAATTAAATTTCGTATGTGAATTTTTTCATAACTTTTTAATTAAAACTCTTCTCTTATAGTTATTCTTTTCATTTTATTAGAAAAATTTTCTAAAATACATTTTTCTTAGCAATAAAAGTTTCTTCAATGAATATTAGCCTCAATTGAATGTAGACCAAAAGAAGTAAGAGAAAAGAAAATTTTCAATAAACTCAATTAATTTTTTGTAATTAATGAATAGTAAACTCGAACCGATACTACAATCCTGAACGATCATGTACGATTCTAACCGATCCTGACCGATCCCAATCCGATCCCACTGCAAAATTCAAGTTTGATCAATCCAGGATCGATTTAGGTACCTGAGATTGTAGGATCGGACGATCCTACGATCCAGGATCGCGAGTTTGCAAATTATGCTTAAAAGTTATTTGTCCAAGTTGAAAACTTATTTGTCTCCTTCTAATCTAAATTAAGAAAAGGAAAGGCAAAGAAATAAGAGTAAAACTTAAAAGTCTACTATGAAGAAAAACAAAAAACAAAAAAGATGCAAGAATGGATGAAGATCCATTGAACGATTCTTTTTCATAATAAAAGAACAAAAATCCCGTCACGTGGTTCAACTGCGTACAAAAGATATCGTTTTGATTGACTGAAATTAGTTTGCTAGTGTACCTTAGACCAAGACCAGAAGAAGAAGAGGCGTGTTTGCTGGAAAGGAGCTAGGAAAGGACTATTATCATACGTTGTGTACTAATTATGTCGATCTGATCAGTCAAATGAAATCGGGGTTTTTTTTATTATTATTAATGAGGAAGGTAAACAGTAAATGAAATTTGAAAGATATAATGTTACATGAGAAAAATGCCCCAAACATTTTTAGTTTTTTACACTAGCCATATAAAGAGTATCACGAATAAAAAACCCCAGCATTCCAGCTACTATTGTTTTAGAGTTTTATTTCGATTGATTAGTCTAAGTGTGGCAAATGCATATTCAGAATCATCTCATCATTCTCGTAAGAATATTCTCCGTATTCCTTAACGGGGAAGCAGCAATTTCTCGGGTTATTTCTTCCATGTTCATAATTGAAGTTTCCATTTGTGAGATCAATTTTCTCTGGAATTCGTCAACTTGGGAATTCACGGTAGACGAGCTGTACCTTTTGGACTTGTTTCAGCATTGAGTTTGTCCTTGACGCTGATGACAATGTGTTTACATCCCCTTTCTGTCACAGTTGCTCATTATCTTAATATATATAAATATAACTGAATTTTGTAAACCCAAGTTGATCGACCTTTTGACTTCAGAGGGGCCTCTGGGCTCTGGCTAGTCCACTATTTTTAATTGAGTACATATATTTGTTACTGTATCTTCAAAGCTAAAGTGTAATATATGCCATAGACAATCACTTGGTCGGTTTGAATCCAGATTCAATATCCGAGTATGCAACAATGGAGAAAATGTCTGCTGCAAGCTATTTGTTTTACATAAGAGACTTAGGGTTTGTTTGTCCAACTCTCATTTTATCTCATTTTTTCGCTTAAACATAAAACTCAATATACTATCCATACAACATTTTAACTCACATTTTTAAAAAAATATTTCTAACATTATTTTTACCCAACTTTCGTCTGCTACCACCGGACCACCGCTACCACCGGCCGGGGTGGACAGGCGGTGGTGGAGGTGATTCGATGGTGGTGAGAAAATATTATTATTGCATTTAAAATTAAAATACATCCATACAACTTTTTAAATTTTCTCTCAAACCACATTTTAAATCACATCTTAAACTCAAAATAAAAACTAAACCAAAAAACTAAAATAAACCACTGTCCATACAAGCCCTTATATACTCCGCTCAAATCAAGATTCGTCAAAGGTAGTGACTTTGAACACCTGTGTAATATTAAATGGACTTAAAGAAAAAAAGAGAAAATAAAGTCAGCTAACACACGGTTAATAGTTACCAAATGAGATCCTTCATCCTCAGCTCGTTGAATTTTCAATGTTGACATTTCCAACTTCTGTGACAAAGATACTTCCAAGTCCAACTTCTCTTAATCATATTATTATTTTAACTGCAGCTATTTAAACATTTGAAATAGATTTCTTTCCATTCCACTCCACTTTCGGCAATCAAATTTTGATCATCCCAAGTTGAAACACACCCTTAGTCAAGTAAACATGCAGCTCAAAAACTCTTCTTTAGAGCCACTTCATGATCAATATCCCCTCAAGTATGATCAGAATCAACCATTTCACGAACTACAAAAGGATTTACCCAGCAGTACTCAATCGGAAGAGAAGAAAATTCAACGGCTTCAGTCCCAGATTATCGGCGGAGATGTAGAATTCGACACCCCTTTTGGCAAACGTAGGCTGACCTAAGCCGATCACACAGCTTCAGGCCGTTGTCTTAAATACGTGGAGGACTATATCATCAACAAGGTTCTTCCTGTCTACGGTAAGTTTAATTATTTTCTCTCTGTTTCGAAACCCGAACATCAAAATGTCTAAGGATCTTATTAACTAAATCACTAGTTTCTGATTGTTGTATAGCATCTCTAACGCTCTGATGATCATATACAGGTAACACTCACACTAATGATAGTTATGTCGGATCTCGGATGTCAAAAATGGCAGATGGAGCAAGTAGATATGTGAAAAGATGCTTAGGTGGTAAAGAGGAAGATGCAATAATATTTTGTGGCTCAGGCTCAACAGCAGCTATCAAAAGACTTCAAGAAGTTATGGGAATTTCGGTTCCATCAATCATACGAGAAAAGGTTCTAAAATGCCTGACAAAAAGAGAGAGATGGGTAGTTTTTGTTGGCCCTTATGAACATCATTCTAATATCCTCTCTTGGAGGAGGAGCTTGGCTGAAGTAATAGAGATTGGATTAGATAAAGATGGCCTAATCGACATGGAAGCTCTGAGGCTCCAACTTGAATTTTACAAGAAAAAACGTCGTCCTATGCTTGGTTCTTTCTCTGCTTGTAGCAATGTCACTGGAATTTATTCAGACACTCGGGATATAGCCCGACTACTCCATCAATACGAAGCTTTCGCTTGCTTCGACTTCGCAGCAAGGTAAACAAATCTCCTTGAAAAATAAAAATTAGCCAGACTTCTAGTTAGTGTTATAAACAAGATGTCACAGAGAGGATCTGAAACGCTGATAGATGATTTTAAATAATGTTGTTGTAATTTGCAGCGGTCCTTATGTGGAAATCGACATGAGATCAGGAGCTGTGGATGGTTATGATGCTATTTTTCTAAGTCCACATAAGTTTTTGGGAGGTCCAGGCTCTCCAGGCATCCTTCTGATGAATAAAGCACTTTATCATCTGAGCTCTTCAGCTCCATCAACCTGTGGGGGTGGCACGGTCGATTTTGTCAATGATTTCAATGAAAAGGCAAGTAGTTCAGTACTAATAGTATATAAATTTCTTTTGTGCTTCATTCTGATTAAAAAAGGATAGTTGTAGGAACAGTGACTTTTCATAGTGACTGATGACGTGTTAGAATAAGTGACTTTAGCACATTTTTTGTTACTACATAATATCCAATCAACCAATAGCAAGTCATTAACTATGTGTCAAAGTAACTATTTCTATCATTACTCTCCTTGAAAATTCTAAACCAACTAATAAATGATTTTCTCTTTACCTCAGGATACTTTGTATACAAAGGATGTGGAGGAGAGAGAGCAAGCAGGAACTCCAGCAATCATCCAGAAAATCAGAGCAGCATTAGCATTTTGGACCAAGGAATACATAGGTCACAACACCATTGAAAGACTGGAGCATGCCTTCATCACTCAAGCACTTGAAAGGCTTCTTCCAAATCCAAACATAAAGATTCTTGGGAATGTGACTGCCAAGAGACAAGCAATCCTCTCGTTCCTCATTTATGCCAACAGTCCTCACTCTCCAGCAGTAGAATCGAACACACCTGATATCAATTCTGATCATGCAAAAGGCAAAACAGGACTTTATCTATGGAGAGAAACCGGTAACCAGAGAAACAAACCGCTTCATGGCGGTTTTATTTCCAAGTTGCTTAGTGATCTCTTTGGCATCCAAGCTAGAGGTGGTTGTGCTTGTGCAGCGCCCTATGGTCACGCCTTACTCGGTATTGGCAAGTCTCAATCCCTTTCTTTGCGATCGGGTATCCAAATGGTAAATAATTTAATCCAGTTTTGTTACTTCAGATTTCAGACTTCAGACTTCAATAATATCTAATAAATAAACTTAATTCTTTTACATCCAGGGTTACAATGGTTTAAAGCCGGGATGGACGAGAGTTAGTTTCCCATACTACATGTCAAAGGGAGAATTCGAGTTTGTTTTATCGGCAATTGAATTTGTAGCTAAGTATGGACAAAGGTTCCTTCCTCTTTACAACTTCAACTGGAAAACAGGTGCATGGAGTTTCAAGAAAACTGCATTCAAGGAAGTCGTTTTAGGACAGGAAAACATTAGTAACCTTGATGTCCAAGTTACAACGTTATCCAATATGATGGAGGATTTGAGTCTACCATGCAATTTTTCGGATGAAAAAAATCATGGGAACATCGCATATTACTCGAAGTATTTGGAAAGCGCAAGATACATTGCAGATATTCTTCCTAAGTTTCCACCTCAGTCTCCAATTCCAAGAGAAGTTGATCCAGGGATTCTATATTTCCAAGTTTAGTTCATTTTTTTATTTGTTCGAAATTTTCGAGGGGGTGAAATTAACCTTTACCATTACCTTAATATAGTTGGCTGATTTTTGGGTATAAATAAATTATACTAACACACATTTTTTGTATACTCCCCGCGGCATTCCAACCTTCTTATTGCATAGGGCTTCTCATTGTGAAGGTTTGGTTTGGTTTGCTTTGGTCAACAATATGGCTTAACTACTTCACTTACCCTATGTTAACAACAAGACTAGTAGCATTACTACAACAAATTGGTTAGTCGGATTTGCCTCAAGTTTCTGAGCCACAACTCTGTATCCAGCATGACACCTCCTTGCTTTTGTACCTTTTATTAAATTTTGTGCACCTAACCGCTTGATTTGTTGCAACCATCCTCCTATTGTGATTTCCTAGGAATTCCATCTTTTGCTACACTATAAATACATCTCCACAAATTCAATTCAACATTATCCTTCACCATTTTCCATACTCAACACCATTTTAAATTTGAGCACAAAAATTTTGCCCCCAAAAAGAAAAAAAAAATGGCTTTCTCTTGGCATTCAAAACGGATACTAATTCCATTCATGTTATTGTCTATTTTCGTTAGCTCCACATTTGCAAATTTCTACAACAATGTGGATATCACCTGGGAGATGGCCGGGCTAAAATTCTCAACAATGGGGAGCTTCTGTCTCTCACGCTGGACAAAACTTCCGGGTCAGGCTTCCAATCCAAGAACGAGTATTTGTTCGGGAAAATCGAAATGCAACTCAAACTTGTGCCCGGAAATTCAGCCGGAACCGTAATCGCTTACAACGAGTTATTATAACATAAGCATTAAGTGCATGTTGGAGGATGCACTAAAACTTAATGTGAACACATGGGTGCACAACATCCTCTTGTTTTGCTGGTCCAAATTTTTTTTTAATCTACAACTCACGCACCTTTTAGATTAAAGAAAATTTTAAAATACAAAAACTTAATAAACAAAAAAAAAACAAAACAAAACAAAACAAGATCCTCGCATTGGACGCACGGATGCAAGCTTCACGCTGCGCAATAACGCGTGAATATCACGCGCCACCAAACTACACTTAATGCGCAGCGTATAATTTCCCGCTTACTATTTATCGTCACAAGGACCGACCCACGACGAAATCGACTTCGAGGGGTAAGGCGATCCGTACACTCTGCACACTAACGTTTTCAGCCAGGGGTAAGGCGGCAGGGAACAGCAATTCCATCTCTGGTTCGACCGGACTGCTGATTTCCACACTTACTCCATCCTCTGGAACTCGCAACGAATCGTTTTCTCTATTGACGGGACTCCAATCAGAGAATTCAAGAATCCAGAGACAGTTGGAGTGGCTTATCCCAAGAATCAGGCAATGAGGATTTACTCCAGCTTGTGGGATGCTGATGAATGGGTAACCAGAGGTGGGCTCGTGAAGACGGATTGGAGCAAAGCCCCGTTCACAGCTTCTTACAAGAATTTTAATGACGACAAAGCTTGTGTTTGGTCCTCTGCTTCATCTTCATCTTCTTGCAGCAGCAGCTCCATCAGTGGACAGTCATGGCTGAATGAGGAATTGGATAACACGAGTCAAGAAAAGCTGAAATGGGTGAAGAACAATTATATGGTTTATGATTATTGCTCTGATTCTGAGCGATTTCCTCAAGGCTTCCCTCCTGAATGTGCTTTTGAAAGTGCTTGACCAGCAGAGATACTTGTTGCGCTTTTTGTAGTTAATTCTTTGATTGACTTCTATATTTTTTATTGAAGCATTGATGAAGGCAATAAAATAATTTTTGTTACTCATCTATTCAGATATATCATCAATTGTTTGGAAACATTGATTGCATACTAGACGCGCACACTCAAAAATTATTAATATGTTTGGCTTGAACTCTATTGGATATGCTAAGATGCAAATTTGCGATTTTCAGAGTTTAGCATCTGTCCTAAGATGATTGTCATTTTTTGATAGTTAAATAATCTTTGGTATTTTTTTATTTTTATTTTTTTTTTGAAAAGGAATCTTTGGTACTAGGTATTATGGTTTTTGAGTATGCTTCAACGTGGAAACTTGGCATGGATGTAATTTTCGTTCGGCACATCCTTCATTTTCTGGTTTATGAAAAAAGTTTAGTTCAGTCAGTGGCATCTTGTTTGAACTCAAACAACAAACCAACAAAAATGTTGAAATCTTAAGACCTACAAGTCTTCCTATCCAATACTACATTCATATATTTTTATATATTGCTTTAGGGTTAACTCAAAACTCTTTTTTTATCTGTCGCTTTTCATTTCCAATGCAGTATTATATATAATTTTTCTAATTTTACATTGATAATATATATTAATGACAATTATCTATTCTTTACACTCTAAGTTAAATTTTTGAAGAGTTCCAATATTAATACACCTTAAAGCAGCAATATAAAAGTAAACAGAGATTGTAAAAATTTGGCCATATTCCATAAGATTCGAGTATAATTATGTATAAGGTTGAAGTTACAATATACTAGTACTTCCGTTCCCCCCAAAAAAAAAAAGTCCGCGTTGAATTTTAAAATTTTTATAAAAATAGTTTTCATTGAATTTTAAAATGTATACTAAAATTTTTGTACAAACTTCAAAAATCAATGTGAATTATTTTTTTGAGACATAGGGAGTACAAAAGAATAATTTGTACCATTTTATTTCATTCATATTTTTATTTTTCAATAGTGAGCCACATATTATCTCTCTTACTAATTTTAAAAATAAAACCTGAATACTTCCATATATATGCATATATATATATATATATTAGGGGCATCTTACTTTTATTGTATAGATTTTAACTAAATGATTCATCAAAAATTTATGACTGGACTATATACGTGTATATATGTGTGTGTGTGTGTGTGTGTGTGTGTGTGTGATTTTAAAATCGACATATTAATCTGCAAACAAGAGATGTAGTACTATATGCTATCGAATTTCAGCAGTACCATAAGGTGGATCAATGATAGAGGTAAAACCGTAAGAGAGGAATGCACAACAGCAATAACGCTTTTGAATCAGTCATGTCTATCAAATTTGGGAAACTGCAATGTTGAATAATTTCGCCATCAACTGAATATGAAACGTGAGAACAAAAGACGAAATCAACATACTTCACCTCATTCAAGACTAACAAAGATCTGCTAAAACAAAACTTCACTTTTATGGTGAATTAGAGACATGAATTTGTCAATGGAGTGCAAGACTCAAGAGCCAAGAGTGAGGTAAGTATTAGAAATCTATGCCTTTTACTCTATATGAAAAATGATCAATAGTATCTAGTTTTATATGCATGCGTTATGATAAAGAAAACACGTTGGACATAATTCATTGAAATATAATGATAATGATAAAGGTAAATCAGACACATCATACCGAGTTTAGTTTTACGAATGAAGTGACACATGGTTATTGGGTATCCATGAGAGAAACATATTAGTTATTTGAATCGTTTCACCAGATGAATTGAATATCTCTTTAACTAGTCAGGAGAAGTTATGTTCGATTATGTTTGCGCTTGAGTGACTCTTTGAGGAAATGTGAGGGGTGTCAATTTTTGACACGATTTACAAAGATAATCTGACACGACACGATACGCTTAATCCGATTTATGTATTTATCACACTTTTATTTCAAAAATTTTATTAATCATGCGTAACATATAACATGAAACTGGCCCGATAACTTAATTCGACACCCCATCGCGTTAACTCTAGGTTTGCCATGATGTTGAAGAAAATAATAACTATTCACCGAATACACTATTATTGGATAATTTAATACGTAACGCCTCCTTAGCATAAAAAAATAATAATAATAATAACATGAGATTTCAAAATTGGCGGAATGGCGGTGGTGGATGAGTAAGTAAGGAAGGGTTGGACTTGGACAGTTTTGGTTAACCGCGTATTCTCAAAATTGAATATAATAATTTCAAGAATGGGTTTGGGGGATTTTTTATTTATTTTTTTTCTTGAAACTGCTTTGGGGAGATAGATTTAGACTTTTTAGTCAACATAGCAGTGTGGAGTATGGTGAGACCATTGTCTTGTTTTTCCAAAAAAAATTGTAATCTGTATCCAGCTAGCTAGACAAAGATTTTATGTATTAATTTTTGTGAGAGAGAGAGAGAGAGAGAGAGAGAGAGAGAGAGAGAGAAACCATGATTACATCATGAATAAATGGCTAAACCAAGGTTTAATGTGTAGATCTAGATAAGGAGTTATGTATGGTAAATTTAATTAGTACATATCTTCAACTTCAACTTGCATTGTTTTCATTATTTGCATGCATGTACGGCTGCTATCCAAGTTAGGTAGAATTATCAACTCCATAAAAAATCATGAGTCTTGTGAACATCATTGAAAAAAGTTAAGGACTTTGATACGTATGTGCGTTTGTTTCATGAGATTCGCAATCTGCATCCAGCTGCACAAAAGATACTCCTTCCGTTCTATTTCAATAATTCATTTTATTCTACTGTTTTGTTATAGTATTTTTCTATTCCAAAGAACGATACATATTGAATTTTTAGATTTATTTCAGAGTAGTGCATAGTGAATTTTGAGATTTGTTCTTCAATATATACTATTTTTTAGACCAAAAAAATAATAAATTAGGCTATTAAATGAGATGAAGAAAATTATAAATTACTCTCAACAATGCATTATCTGCATGTACGGCAGCCTGCACGCATGCTTAAATTTTTGCAATCATATATGGTTCGGAATGGAAAAACCAATCATATGAGGTTGTGAACATTAGAAAATCGATCAAAAAAATGTCCTGAACTAGCTGACTACCGGGGTAACCTCTTTATGCTCAAGGTCCCTCCAAAAACATTAAAATAAAAATGGGTGTCATGAGCTAGCTGGACCGAAAACTACTGGTAGCTACTTGCTACTTCTAATTATTCTTCGTCCCAATTTAAGAGTTCTAATGATCAAATTGTTTTAATATACTCCATCTGTTTCCAAAAAAAAAAAAAAAAAAAGTCTTTATTGAGTTTCTAAGTTGTACTCTCTCCATTCTAAAATAAATGTCATTTTACAACTTACACACAATTTAAGAAAGATTTAAATAAGATAGTAAAATTACTTGAATATCCTCAACTAACTCACAAAAATAATTACTCACCGGTAATATTAATTCTTATGAGGGAAGTTTTGAAAATTTTGATAAAAAAGTACATTGAAATGTAAGAACGACACTTATTTTAGAACGGATGGAGTCTTAAAAACAACACAAAATTCAAAACTCATTGTGAATTTTTTTTAGGATGGAGAGACTAAGACTCTAAGAGAATATAAAATATGACTCTTAGTTTGGCCATACTAAAAAGTGTCATCGAATAATTAATTATCTTTCACTAAGTTAAACATAATAAAAAGGTGGTTAAAAAAAAAGTGTCTTGGTGATACAAAACAGTAAAGAAACTTTTTTCCTAAGTGGACGACCACCTATAGGTGTATGTTTTCTAAGTAGGTTTTCATTAGATCAACAGTATTTTCCAAACATTAGAATATAACAAGTAATTAAAGTAATCTCTCAATAGTTGAGGTAGGAAGCGGATCGGAACGTCCTTCCATTTGGGAGCGCAAAAGTCTACATCTCTCTTCTTTCTTTTATTTTTTTTTATTTTTATTTTTAATTAATAAAATGATCGTTGTGCTTGTTTTAGTTGCTCCAAAATCAGCAGTGTCTTTCTCTACTTTATCATATTGTAAAATTCATATTTGCTTCCTGTTTCCGAATTTTTAGTAGTTATTAGCTCTCTATGCATGATAATAAATATTTTATAAGAATCGTCTTGTTTAACTAATAAGATTTATTAGTTAAACCTGTCAAAGCCAACAAACTAAACTTACATTTTGTTGAGGGGGAAAACGAAAAAATGGAAGTTCTAGGATGATTCGTTGATTGGTGGGAAAGGGAACTAGTGACTATACTTCACTTACCTCAAAACGATCATAATTTTGTTATTATTTTATTAATCAAAATGTCACCTCACCAAGTTTTAAAATTAATCCAGAAGCATGCATGCACAAAAGCTCATAGATTTGACTTCACTTTTGGGGACGAATTGGCAATCTGTATCCAGCTCAAACTCACAATAAAAATAAGATTAGATTTTGATGTATGCAAATTGGTCCTTCCAATATTCATCCGCACACCAATGACCAAACTACTGTCTTTATCCATTGCTTTCATCATAAGGGGTGATTTTCCTCGCAGCCTCCTGAATGCCATTTCTCATTCTCTGAAGTACTCTCTTTTCTTTCTACAATTTTTTTAGTACAACAAATAAGACGATATTTGAGAATGATACTTGTAGCCGAAACTAGTTTGAATAGGTCATGGTTATTATGCTAGTTCAAGTATAAACAGATTTTTCTTGGGCGGGGAAAATTCCAAAGCCATATCCAGCTAGCTAACCCTCTTAGGATGCGAAGTCTCTGAAATTAATTAACATGTTGAAAATGGAAGCTATGGATAAGAACTCCAAACAAACAAAACAAATATATTTCTGGAAAGAAAGCTGAGAGTTACGTTGTTTGTTTCATGCAACACGACATCGATCTCTTCAGAGTGGTTTCTTGGTACCATTTTATGTATTGGTCTTTGGTAAGTGAATCAAATAAAATAAAATTGCATGGGGTCCGTGATAAAGAATCCCTATTACCAAACAAACATATAAAAATCATTTTTTAGATATTATGCCAGTAAAATTTTCATGCATCATCAGCAATAATCATCCATAATTCTATGTTTTTTGTTTTTCTAATCGATCTAACCTCAACTCCATACGCCCAATTGCATTGCTAGCTTTTATATCATCGGGAACCTTCTTGGACTCTATCGGGCTTATTATTATGGCTGCTTGCAAACTTAGTTTGAGCCATCTGTGTCCAGCTCAAAGCTCTTCCCCACTCTTTTCTATCTTTAAGAAATTTTGTGCGCCCCACGGTCCAACAACTTAATTTATTGGAAACATCCTCTGAGTTTTGACCTTGATGTGATCATCTTTTAAATGTTTTCTTTTAATTTTTATTTTTTACTATCCCCGTCCCATTTTAACATTGTCTATTTAATTGAATTAAAATAATATTTTCTTTGTCTCAAAATAAATGTTCAATTTAGTATAGAAGAAGTAACACGGTAATCAGGAAGGATATCAATTACAGTACTCGTCAACGTTTAAAATTATTACCTTCCTCCAAAAACAATAAGAATAATTTTATTCCATGCACTTGAGAGAGTGGTTGATATAATTTACAAGTTAACTTTCAAGAAAGGTTCCAACCCTATTACTCTAATTCTTCTTATTTGGGTACAAAGAAACTACACGTTTTGAATATGTTTAGTCTGATAATGTAGAGTTAAAAGGGATAATAGTGAACATAAGAAAACAAAAAAAATTTACTTCCTTGTGTCTTCTTAAATTAAAACACTTCACAAAGTTGAAACTTTTTTCTCCAAACAAAAAAGTGCATAATTAAAAATCACTGACTAGGTCTTATTTTGACTGCAATAGGCAACTAGAACACAAACTTTCATTAATAAGTGTGATCATCCATCATTTTGGTCACTATAAATACCTCCCCCTTACGTTCAATTTTTCATCATCCAAATATTTCATATTCTCTAAGCAAAAAAATATTTAGAAGCTTCTCTCCACAAAAATATTAGCTACAAAAAAAAAAAAAAAAAAAAACATGGCCTTTTCTTGGCAATCAACAAAGATAGTACAATTGTTAGTATTGTTGTCTATCTTCATTAACTCCGCAAATGCAAATTTCAACAACGATGTAGACATCACGTTCGGCGACGGCCGGGCAAAAATCCTCAACAACGGCGAGCTCCTCACACTCACACTGGATCACTCCTCCGGCTCCGGTTTCCAAACCAAGAACCAGTATTTGTTCGGCAAAATCGACATGCAGTTGAAACTCGTCGCCGGAAATTCAGCCGGCACCGTCACGGCATACTATTTATCATCAACAGGTCCAACTTGGGACGAAATCGACTTCGAATTCCTCGGAAATCTCAGCGGCGATCCGTACACTCTGCATACTAACGTGTTCAGTCAGGGGAAAGGCGGCAGGGAGCAGCAATTCCATCTCTGGTTCGACCCGACTGCTGATTTCCACACTTACTCCATTCTCTGGAACCCACAACGCATCATGTAAGTATATAAAGTACTCCTTCAATTATACTCCCTCTGTCCCAAAATTATTATCCAGTTTGAGTTTTTATTTTCAGGACAATTTGAACTAAAATTAAAAATACAAACTGGACCATAATTTTCGGGACGAATAGAATATATTATACTCCCTCTGTCCCAAAATTATTGTCCAATTTTAAATTTCACTTTTAGTACAATTTAAACTAGAAATGAAAATCCAAACAAAACAATAATTATGGAACAGAGTGAGTATCTTTCTTTTCCACAGACAAAAATCAGGACGTTGTCTGGCGGACATTTTCTCGATTTTAGTAAATTCTGAATTTATTTTTTTTTCTCATATCCCCTGTTTTCAGATTTTCAGTGGATGGAACACCAATCAGGGAATTCAAAAACGCTGAATCAGTGGGAGTTGCATTCCCGAAGAATCAACCAATGAAAATGTATTCTAGCCTCTGGGACGCTGAGGATTGGGCAACAAGAGGCGGGCTCATCAAGACAGATTGGTCTCAAGCTCCCTTCTCTGCTTCTTACAGGAACTTCAATGCAAATGCATGCATTGTTTCTTCTTCGGGGGCATCTTCATGCAGCTCCAATTCTGCAAATTCTAGCAATGATTCGTGGCTAAATGAAGCTTTAGACGCCACAAGTGAAGAAAAGATGAGATGGGTTCAGAAGAATTACATGGTTTACAATTATTGCACGGATTCAAAGCGTTTTCCCCAAGGCTACCCACCTGAATGTGCAATCAATTGAGTATAGAGATACGGCAAAATTTAATTAAGGCAGAGTTGGTGTGGTTACAGAAGATGTTGGGATTTTTTTATTATTATTATTATTTTTTTTTTTGTGTATTTAAGCTACTGTGTGACTGCGTGTTTGATATAATTCTTTGATTTATTTTTTGTTTTCAAGTTTGTTAGTATATTGAGAAGCAAAAAGGTCTGAATAAAACTTTGTGTTCAATTCATCATCCTTGTGGGAACTTATTATTTGATAGTTTATCATTGTGTTGAAGATATTCTCGTGCCTCCAACCATGGGACGTAAATTGTAATATACTACTCTTCTTTAGCAAAATACAAGAAGGAGAATCTTAATTCTTTTTTTGAAATAAAAAAAATGTTTATTGGTCTATTACAAAATTACAAAATTACAAATTAATTCTTTTTTAAATTACTAATACAAAATTAAATTCAAAATTAAAAAAAAAGGGTCGTTTTGGAATTTGGACTTCTTCACAAGGGCTTTTTTTTTTTTTTGGTAAAATAAAGGAGACTCTTATCTTAATTCTAGACTATTACAACATATTAATGCGAGTACGGCACACTAACTATATCATGTTCTAACCAGTATCGAATAACAGACAGAAGATCATTTAGCACAATAAACCATTAGGGCTACTCGTTGCGAAGGTAGCTATTGAGTGGGCAGCAAAATTTAGCTCCCAGTATATATGTTTCAACTTAACTAACCATTCTTTCTTCAACAAGTCCCGTATAGCCATCACTAATCCCCAATGCACACCACAAAATATCCTCCGTTCCGTCCATCTTGACAACGCTTATAGCCATCACTAATCTCCACAAGGCTTGTTTCTTAATTCTTCTTCTATTTATCTTTTCAAGTTCCAAACCATCTCCTGTAGATAAGCAGGCCGCAAGATAGGACTGTTCCATGTCCAGCTCGACGTCCAAAAATATTACCCAGATTAATTAGTTTGAATTTGAGCCAGGTAAATCACTTCTGGAAGGCTGAGCTGAACTCTCCCCAAGTTACTATGACATGTTTTAGCCTTCATATCATCTTAAACCATAGTGTAAAATCCATGACAAATATTGCAAAAAATCAGAGCCCTTCAAGATTTTCAATCGTTTTCATGGGTCAGTTTGTGCCATTAATTCATCTCAAAACTCTCCCGCTGTAAGCATAGGCGCCAAATTTGAAAATATCCAGGCAAAAAACATACTGAAGCCCTGGTTTCTTCTGCTTTAAAAACTGTCTTGTCCTGAATAGGAAGCATGATCTTTGATCAGAAGCATGATTAGGTCAATGTAGCCGACATTAATACAATAACCTTGCAGCACCATTATACTGGGTAAGAGGATCTGCACATTTTACAGAAGACATTCTTGCTAACATCTGGATAGGAACGCAATCAAACACTTGAAAAGACAGAAAGGGCAACAAACTGAAAGATAACAAACATCAGATACTTGTCAAACCGAAGTTCTTACAAACTGAAAGCATAGTGTCAGCAACAATCTGAGTCAAATTCAAGTCAAATAAAAACTTATCCCTGTACAAAGAAAAATGTACACTAAAATTGAGGTCTGTTACAGAAATATGAATAGCCTTTTGGAGATTCCTGATGAGAGAATCTACTTCTGCACAGTCGAACCCTAATACATCCTCCTGTGTTGCTGAGGGTCAGCATCTTTACAAGGGATAGCTGATGATCAAACTCGCCCTACTATTCATCATCCAATTCGACAATCTGTGCCCGCCTCTCAGCTGCTTTCTTCCTAATGAAAAAGCCCCACCTCATGGCAGCCTTAATTTTCAACCAACCAACAACGGCTTTCCCAGGTCGTGTGCGGTCCTCATCATAACTGAAATTTTGAGATGGCGACGGCATGTAATTTGGAAAACCGTAAGCATCATCAGGCATATTGACGCCAGCATTGCCTCCCATGCTGAAAAGTCTAAGCAACTGCTGCATATCTTCATTCTCAAGCATCTCGTGGCTTCTCATGCGTATTTCCTCCTCTGACAAAAAGTCCTCAACACCCTTGTCACGAGTTTGGGACCAATCATCGAAAAGATTTAGATTGGGCTGCTGGACAGAAGAGCCACCTGCCTGGAATGATGAAGACTGAGGAGGAGTAAGGGCCAATGCTGCCCTATCATCATATCGTACTTGCTGGATTTGATGAGAATTGTTGACTTGGTCAGAAACACCAAATGAAGAGCTCCCAAATTGACTACGGTTATCTGAACCGAGAATCTGGGACTGGCTGGCATATCTGGTACCCATACTATCATTGTAGCCAGAACCTAGAATTGAGGGACAAAGATAAAGTTTAATACTGCAGACAAAGATGAATTCAGCCAAGAATTAAGGGACAAAGATAAGATGAACAATTTGACAAACCTACCTTACAAAGGGATCACAAACCCTAACAAACTAAGTTTTCAGAGTCTAATTCGTAGGGAAACAAAGAAATCTCAGTTGGAACTGTTTTACATTTTATCTCCTTGTCATTTCTCCTACTTCCAAGAAAACCATAAAACCCAGTACTAAAGGGGAGTTTTCGATGCACTTTATATCAGAAAGTAGATGGAATGAACATAACCCTTCATAAATGGCAGATTCAGAAATTCTATGTCAATTGGTCCAGCAATCATCCATACACTTGGTTTACCTTAAAATCTGAAGTCTTTCCAGACCACTCTATTTTGTTAGCTTGCAAGAACCTCTATAATTGAAAGTGATTAATAAACCTAAAACTCTACAAGGCAGGTACTCTGTCCAGAATGAATAAAAATTTCACCAGTTTATGAGGAATAACCATCTTCTGTCATCTTTAATCTTTCATTTCTCAAAATAATTCCACCAACGATGCTTCTCAAGTTTTTACAATAATTATGGTAAGTGTGGCCGTGTCGCTCAAGGAGCAGTAGAACAAAATAAAACAACAGGCACATCGACCAAATCCTTTCATATACTGTTCCATACAGGCCCGTTCATCCACAGAACAGAAACATAATTAAACCTTCAACATTCCCAAAGACAAAAATAAAAACAAGGCGACAATGTTCATATGTCCACAACCCTCCCAACCAAAAATTAAACCCTAACGGAGACTATTTTCATTTCATCTAGCCGTGCTCAATTCAAGCACGATGAAATTTATTTTTCTTTCTGCAGTGGAATATGGAATAAAAGGATATATACCTGCAAACATATTTGAATCCAATGAAGATGGCTCCGATTGAACAGACATGGGTAATCGGGAAGCACCAAGCTGATTTTCCAAAGCATTAGGATAGTCAATAGGTCCAACAGGAAGTTCATTCCGGGGTCCATTTGGTTTCTTATTTTGCTTGAAGTTCAGAAGAGTTTTGCCATCATACTCTATGACTTGGCTCCAATTTTCATATGCCTTCTTAACTAATCCATCAACATATACCTACAATTGAAAATATCAAATTTTTCTGACAGGAGTAGTATTTGTCGCTATCATAATCACTCCAATTTAATCATACATGCAGAAGCTGTGGGTTACCCATACCACATTTTTTGCAGCAATATAAGAAAATTTAAAAAAACAAAAAACAAAAACAAAAAAGCTGGTATAACACATTCCACAAAGGTAAAATTCAAAATATGCAATGCAAGTCAACTTGATGTTGTGGGGAGTTGAGCTATAACCGAAATTCCACATCAATTCGTCCATGCTTATTAACTGACCAGTTTCAAGAGATGTGCATGTCAAAAGCACAATGGGTACAAACCTTTTGGTTGTCAGATAAGGAATCAGCTGGATAATATTGTTCATTCGCAATTAGACCACTAAGTTCATAGATGTTGTTGAACACAATGCCTACGGTTCTCGAATCATCAGAATAGTAGACATAAAGCTTTCCGCTCAAGACACAGGTCTTTGCATGCTCAATGAGTGCATCCCACATTTTATTTGACATGCCACTGCCAAGAATCTGGTGACAATATAAAATATATATCAAATGAGAACCAGCAAAGTATATCAAATGAGAACCAGCAAAGTTTTTCAAGTAAAATTCTGACATGATATACTTACATTCCGTAGCTTCGCCGAGTCTCTAACCACAAGCCGGAGAAAATCCTCGACAGTAAATATCCCTGCATTATTCAACCTTTTGTGGAATGATCCGTCCTTTCCAATTTTCTCCAATCTCCATACATCATCATTCAATGCGGGTGGATAGTGCTTCTTATACACTGTAAAAATAACATATATTTTAACATACACATAACAGTTCACGAATCAAAATTAGGTATACACCAAGAGTCATCAAGTAGCATACATTCCCCTCGGTGATCTTTAACAGTGAAAGCCTCAGTCTTCGCTTCACGTACTCGAATACCCTCACAATATCCTGATGCAACCTTTAGGCCAAGCCTAAACTTCCTACTTCTAATCCAACTTGAATTATCAGTAAAAGTAAGCTCTCCTAGAGTTCCTACACCTTCCTTGAGTGTCACTTGCAAATCACCAGTCAAAAGAGGCCTTTTCCCCTCACGTTCTTTCACAACATGGCTTTCAAACTCTTCCTGAGTCCAGTTTTCATCATTTTCAGTGTTAAAGTCACCTTCGAGAACTATAACATCCAGCTTGACAGATGATTCAGGTCCAGAAGTCACAACATGGCCGGTATTGGCATCAATCAGAACAACATGTACAGCAGCACCCTGCTCTCCTTCAACCTTACCCCCGGTAAAAAGGGGTAAAGAAAGTCTTGACCTAAAATGCAGCTGCAAATTTCTCCCATCAGGGCCTTCAATTCGTTTGGGTGATGATGGCCTGAAATTCCAAGCATTCAGAAAAATACTTCAATATAACACAATTGTGAAATAGAGACAAGCTATACCTTACAGGCATCAATTCCTAAATGAAGGAGCACCAGGTCCAGGACCAAAATGCCACAATTATCGAAATAAAAAATAACATTGGAAAACGAGTACACATAGAAATACATTCTTTGTTCAGATATTACAATTTCTAAAATAACAATCAAAATCCAACCTTCCAGCGAGTCTTGCAGGACCAATCTTTGCCAATGCACGTTCTACTTCTTCACTAACCTGTCAGCAAGGAGATGCATGTGAGACCAGACCTCTTCTATTAGGTAAACACCTAAAGTACATAAGGTTTCATAAACAAAACCAAGTGAAGCTCCAGTATAATTCCCAAAGAAATCACAGATTGCTACTCAACCTAAAGAGTGTTTTGCCTGCCATTGTTTCAAGTTCCTCAAGTTTGCTACAATTCCACTGTACAGCTAAAAGCACTACAAGCATTTCTCTTATTTTGTTTGCATAGAGTGTGAATCACAACAGATTACTCATTTAGTTGGTGAAAAGGACATGCACATGTGAGTTTACATTAATGCCTCCACACTGCTAGTTGTCAAAACTCAAAAATACATTTGTAGGAAGATTTTACTACTTACTTTTATGAAACTACAGTTTCCAGAAGAAGCAGGTCAAAAGTTGAACAAATGAGATGGGCAAGTAGAGATAAGAAGCCATAAAATCTACCCAGAATGCATTTGTAAAAGTGTTTGTTGCTTATAAACTAGTTTTAGTAAAACATTATGTCCCACTTCGCCAAGTTTGTTGCACTGACTTATTTCTTCAACTAATATAATCTCGGCAATCAGATATGATAAAGACTTTAGAGGCAATTATTTTGCACATCTTACAACTGGAAACAATTAAATCGGCAATCTGGTAACAAGTACATTCAGGAAGGAAACAAAACAGAATTGATATGAACTTTTAAACTGCAAAACCTTATCAACAGATGCGATCAAACAAAATTCTAGGCCAGGCATTTCGAGCTTTCAGGTTGACAACTATTTGAGGAACCCAAACATGTACAAAAATTTAAACAGCAAGATAACCAGGACAAGGCATAAATAAGGCTTACAACTCTCCGAAGAATTGGCTCCAAGGATGAGCAAAGTTTCTGGAGACTATCAACCTTCAGCGCTTCCACTATGACACTGCATTGATATTTTATCGTTAAACAGTTAAAAGTTGTTTGTAGTGAACCAATTAGAGATCAATGCCACAAGGACAAGCACAAAAGGAAGCTCAAATGCATGCTTGCTAGTCCCAAATTGTTGTAATTATAAAGTTCAGATGCACAGAAGGAGAAATTTTGCAGATTATCCAGAATAGACGAATGATAGGCCTAGCCTTTTTAACTCTTATTAAGGTAGCGTTATAATAAGCCTGTGTTCTATAAAAATTAGATTTCCTTAATAAATAATTGTGATAAGTGTGGCTCAAATTGGGCCATTCTCAAAATGGCCAAAACGGCCCAACCTTTCTGAATCTTCTACTGGCAAGCAGTCTTATCAATATGACTGAGAACCAGAATAAATTCTCATACGAGTATACAGAATACGAACTGTCACTTTTTACAAAATTATTACATGTCAAAACTTCAATCTTATTCTCAATGTCCAATTACACAAATTGAAAAATGCCAATATCCAGGGCCTATCTTAAAGCCGAACTCGAGTTCTCTTAAACAGGTCTTGTAAAAAATATCACAAAATTTTACTTGGTCAAACTGCATGTAGTCGTATTAAAGATCTACAAAAAAGGTAATTCTAAAATGCCAACTGTCTTCATGTTCGCCAAGCCTGACCGAACATCAGAGCTGCATGTGCAAATTCATATAAACAAGACCAGATGCCACGTGTAAAGTCATCGACAACGGAACCGAATTAGTTAATGCTCACACTGCCAGAATTCAGCTCAAAGTAATGAATACATGCAATTTCTTAGCAACGTTACAGAGACGTGCACATTTTGTTCACTTCCATCTTAGCAATGTTACAGAGACGTGCACATTTTGTTCACTTCCACTAAACTCACCATAAAAAACACCAGCTTCCACATGCAGAGTCACCAACAATAAAAGAGAACTGTTAAATGCTCAGATTTCCACAATTCGGTTAAAAGTAATGAGAATGCACACTTTCTTCAAAAGCATCGGAAGCGCGTGCTTTCGGATCACTTTTTAAATTCACCATAACAAACTCAAGTTCCCGAGGATAAAGATAAAGATACTAAAAGGTTTGGCAACGTGAGGGATATACATGTATATGTGGCACAGTCATTAAAGTCATCATTATGGACCCACATCTTTTAACCAAAGAAAAAAATGGAAATTTATAAACGGTGGTTCATTGAAGCTTTGATAAGTTTAGGCAGAATGAAAGAGTTACACGTCAAGTTAGAAGGATTTGGTATAGGATATCAAAAACAGATCCTACATATTTGATGGGTTCCATTTTTGACCCCTTAAAATAGCAGAGCAATCGCAACGGAACTTTTTTAGTAAATGTTCACAAAGCATTTCTTCAGTGCCTTACCTACATCCCCAAATAAACAATCTAACTCATGATCGCACGTGCACGACTAAACTTCCATTAAAATACATTTTCCTTCAACCCATGTTCTATAGATTGGAAGACACTATCCAAGTAACAATAGAATTGAAACCAAACCATAATTTCACCATCTTCACTCAAGTCTCAACATCTAGTAAATCAAATACTTATAGTGTCGAAAGTCTCAAATGCTACGCTTTGCAACCCTGAATACTTAAAACTAAGTTCAATCCAGATAAATTATCCAAAAGCTCTCAAATATAAATCGTAAGTTAAAGTTCCTAAAGAAATCTAACCCAAACAACAATACATTCGCACGAGAGAAAAATTCTACTACGGACAAACATGTCAAACCGTCCAAAACAGTGATACAAAACTTCACTCCATACCAAAGCATTTCTCCAAAGTCAATCTTTAACAAAACTTTAACCCAAAAGAGGTATAACTTGACATGAAAAAAAAATTACAAAAAAAGAACTAATAATGTGTAGAAAACTGAATAAAAAGCACAAAACTTTACCTAGCTAAGGCAGGCCTCTTGCGCTCTTGCTGCTGCTGCTCATCCTCACCCTCCAAAATTCTTTTTCTTGTTTGCATCTCCACTAATTCCCCAAAATCTACAAACAAAATTAACTCAAAATTAACAAATTCCCGCAGATCTCGAAAGAATCCAAATCCCGCTAAACAAAACCCTAAATTTCACTAACCTAGTCTACAAAACCCTACAAATTACACAATCATCCAAAAACCCAAATTGCCATACAGCGCGAGCTAAAAAACAAACAAATTAGCAAATAGGATAACGTATTTGACCTTGGTTAAGCGAGTAAGTAAATCACTAAAGTTTCTTTTCAACTGTCCCAAAAAACACACAGACAAAGCAAGCCCGAGTAAATTGTAGTTCTAATTGTATTAGAGTGTGTTCTTGGAGTAGTGTGTGAGAGGTCTACTCTGGCAACTGACGCCAAAACAGCTAAAACAAGGGGATCTAAGCAGAAAAGTTGAGGACTGGTTGAGTATTTTCGTACCGTCTTTATAATCTTGTCCGAAATCTTCGCCAAATTTGCGTATTTACTCCCTAAGTTTATTTCAACGTCCCTTTACTGCCCAAAATCAATGATAGAAAGTAGAAATGGATTTTATGATTATCTTTAATTGATTATTGATTATACATTAGACATCCTTTTAATGTGATTAATTTTTTAACTAAATAATATCTTTTATATTGAATATTTTATATAATTTTCTAGAAAAAAAAAAGTGTATTGTAGTTATTTATCCATCATTTGACTTTTCTTCCTCCAGCAATAGATCGATGTTTTTTAAATTTTTGATAGGTTAGAATAAGACGAACGTAAGACAGTGAAAAATAAGATGTTTTATGTTTATTAAATTTTTATTTTGCATGTTAGCATAATTCAAGAAAAAAAAATAACATAATGCGTATTTGTTTATTTATTTAGTAGTAATAATCAAGAAAAATAACTCGTTAAAAGCATGTTTGGATGAAATTATTATTTATGAAAAAAAAATATTGTGTTGTACTGTATCATACGTGAACTCCTTAGCTAATTATTAAAAATTATGTCAATATTGAGATTTTTACCACAAATATAATGAAAATATGACAGGTTTTAGATAAGTCCATCAAAATTGTTGTAAAAAAAGGTGAAGTGCAAATGTTTAATGAAATGGAGTTACACATAGTCTAATTAAAAACCTATCTTTGTCATTAATACTAAGATTACCCAAAATAAAAAACAAAAACAAAATTGAAATCTCAAGTGTCTACTTTTAGAATTTTGGGAAAACAATGGTGCTATTGAAGGAAATGTGCAAAGTTATTGAGATCTTTATCGTTTTTGCTACTTTTTCAGACTTTTCTCAAACTCTGATGCAGGAAGAGAGAGAGAGAGAGAGAGAGAGGGATGCAATTGGAGAGCGGAGGAAGATCCATTGGGGGTGAGAAAGAATCTAGGCCATTGATTTGCAAGAATAATGACGGCTGCATGATAAAATGGCTCCCACGTCAGAAATTGTCACCCTCTTTTTCCAGTCTTATTCTCTGTTTTTTTTTTAACTTACTAGTCTAGTACTATTTCTTGATTTTGTCTTTCTACCTATTCAAAATCATTACTATTCGTACTATTCCTTTTTCCGTTTTATCTTCTCTCTTCTTCTTCTTCTTTTTTTTTTTTTTGCTTTTCATTTCAAATTATTAAAGAAAAAAATAATTAGCTAGATAAAATTGATTGCATTTTTTGATGTACACTTTACTTCGAAGTTGTTAATGCGATATAGTTCTTTATAAAAGTTACTAGCATAGAAACGAAATTAGATACAGTCAGTAAAAATTTAGGAGAGGTGAAATAAAATATTCCCATTATTTTAAAAAAATATTTCACATTGAAAATAAGAAAATGATAATAATAATAAGTAAAAACTTGGGCAAAATAACAAAACCAAGTTATCATGATGAGAGAGAGAGAGAACTATAGTATAATTAGTGAAGACAAAATCACTTAATCACTTAAAATTTAACTCATAAGTAATGAATAATCTTATAATTATTATTGAGTTACATTAATTACTATCTCGTATCAATATATTTTTCACCGAATATAACATAATACTTTCTATCATAAAAATTATGAGTTTATCCTTGACCGAGTAGTCAAATTTACTATTTTTACGAATGACTTTGAGACTTCGAGTGGTCCTAATGCAACCGTCATGGAATGAGATAAGACGGGCATCCATCCATCCACAAATTATACTATATAGTAAAATAAAAAAAAAGTGTTCTTGCATGACACAAGTGAAGTAGTGAGTCTAGTACTTGTGTATACTTCCAAGTTCCAAGTATGCAAAATCATATTCTTTGAACTAATCGAATCTCAAAAAAAAAAAAAAAAAACGTTTATCAATGGTGGTAACTTTGCTTGATTTTTTGCATTTTTATCAAGAATTTCTTTTTTATTTTCCTGAATCCATGAGATTGTAAACAAATATAACGATTGACAATTTGACCACTTAATTACAAAGGGATTAATGTGTGAGGACTTTTTCCAAAAATGGAAAGAAAAAAAACAGTGAGATGAGGTATTCATTTCCAATTGAAATTTATTTATCTATTTCGTTTTACATTAACTGCATGACTATAAGCTACGCCATGTGTAGCTCATTTTTCATCACTAACCGACTGAAAACTAAATTAATAATACTTCCTCAGTCCCTCTCCCTCTTTTTTTTTTTTTTTTGGTTTCTACAGTAAAAGAGTCAAACTCTATCACTAAACAAAAAAATATATATATCAACAACATCATGTTTTAATAGTTCTATTAAATCAGTCAAATAATCCGTCACAAAATTAGTTTCCGTGAGATTTCAACTTCAACAATCCAATCTTAATTCCTCATTTTGACAATTTATCAACTGTAAAATTTCATTTCAACTGATATTAACTATTAAGTAGACTGCTAACAAAACTGAATAGACTTTGCCACGTTAAAAGTTGCATTTTCTGGAATCTCTGAACATCTGTCAAGAACCGCTCCCATGCAAAAAATAAATAAAACTAAAAAATAAAAATGCATTCCCTTTATAAATCACCTCCCATGGAATTCATTTTCTTTCACTTCATTTCTCAGTTGTAGCAAAACCATCTCCTGAAACAGAGTCCAAACTTCTTCATTTCCATTTCTGATTTCCCCCCACCAAAAAAAAAAAAAAATGGCTTTTTCTGCTTTCAAATTCTTATGGAGCTTGCTTCTATTGATGATGAATCTGTCCGATCCTCCTTCTTCTTCTTCTTCTTCTGGTTCATCATCCTCGTCATCAAATAACTGGATTCCTGATTTTTCCACCCCTGTTTTGCCTCCACCTCCATTTCCTTCTGCAGTGGATGAACTGGCAGAACATGAGGATTTGCTCTGGGAGATTTTCCTTTTGCTTCCAGTGAAAACTCTGATCCGTTTCAAATCCGTTTCCAAGAAATGGAATCGGATTATTTCCGATCACAAGTTCGGCATCCGCCATACTCGTCAAACTCCAAACCCGAATCCAACTAGCCTGGTAATGATCAGGAACAAATACATTGCCCTGCTCCCGCTTCAAGATGATCACCGGAATCGTCTTCAGAGGCTCCGGTTTCCGGCATTGAACTACTTCTCGCCCCCCAACTCCGACATTTCTCTGAGAACCATCACCATCTGCAACGGATTGGTTCTTGGTTTTTTAAGCTCTGTTTTTTCCCCTCGGAGAAATGCCTATTGTGTCACAAATATCGCCACCCGGAAATTCCTCCGGCTTCCGCCTCCGATACAAATCACGGGGAGCCAAATCCTTGGAATCACATTAGCATTTGACCCTTCAAAATCCCCGAATTTCACAGTCCTCTGTATCGGCCGGACGAACAGCTTGCCCATAAGTCCAGTCAAAATGGAAATATATTCGTCGGAAACAGGGGAATGGAAAGTTTGGGAAGGAAAGATTATCAACACAAGGCACGCCGTCAAAGTGTTCACCCGCGGGGTGCTGTGGAACAACACCATTAATTGGCTCACCCCAATAGGTAATTCCTTCTACTTCTCATTAGCTGATGAAACCATGAGAGTTTTGCCAATGCCGCCGGAATGCAGCGATGGAATGTACATTTGTAGAAGGATGATGTTCTTGGGGGAATCAAGAGGGTTTTTGCATTTACTCGATTTGGAAATCGATATTTCAAGTAACCCACCAATTCACGTTTATCAGATGAAGGAAAATCACAAAGGGTGGGTGTTGAAAAACAGAGTAAGCCTTGATCACATTGCCAGGATTTTCCCTGGAATGACTGGGCAAATCCCGTTGGCTGTTGTGGATAGTACTGGTTCTGATTCCGACGGGGCGGATCATCTGTTTGATTACTTCACTTACTCGGTGTTGACGGTGATTTGGGCGGAAGACGGCGAGAGTTTCGACCTGATTCTGATGATCCCGAGCCAGATCATTGCTTATAACACCAAGTCCGACACCGTGAGAGTGATTCTGAGGTTTCAGGATAATGTTCCGATGACCAACTTTAAGGGTTATGAAGTTCACCACTTCAATGACACCTTGGCTCCCATCCCCACCCCCACCCCCACCCCAGTTGAATTAGAGAATTGATTATGTTGTGCTGTTGTAATTTGCAGCCAAATTAAGCTGGGGATTAATAATAATAATAATAATATCTATAATAAAAGTATCCAGTCCTTTCTGGTTAAAAATTTTACCGCTTGTTTCTTTCATTTTCGATATACTCTTTTAACCAATTCAAATGTGGCATGGTTGAGAAGTTTTTGGCTGTTTGGTTAATCAGCAAATCGTTAATAATTGATTGGACTCACATTGGACTAATGTAGTTGCTAACATCACCTGAGATTTATTTGTGTTAATAATACTGACTAAAATTTTTGATACTTTTATTGTTAATTCTTCAGAGTATCATCTGAGATTTTTATGTTGTCATTCTCAGTTAATCCTATTAACGCTCCCAGGGTCGGAAGTCGGAACTCGGACGGGATGGCTGACTGGTGAAACGATGTCTTTTTATGCATAAACAGTAGTACAATGATTAGTCCTAAACGCGAATCTTAATAATGATTAAAAAAAAATTACACATATTTTCAATCAGTTCGTTGGCATCAAGTAACTTCGCCGTTATCTTCTAGCAGTCTACTACAATCAATATAATAATTACTACATCTCATCTCCTAGCTAAAACAGCTTCAAAGTTGGGAGGCTTGGAGCTTCACTTGGGTCTGGCTGAACTCTTCAAGCCTCCTCATAACTTTTTTCAGGAGTTTGGTGCAAACTTGAGGGGAAGTGCAAGGCCCGCACATGAAGTAAATGACATTGCCTAGTGGCCTCGTGTAAATGCCATCCCCGCGAAACTCCTTGACTAGGGAACTTGCGTACAGCGACGCATACCTACAGGTGATTGATAAGCATCATTAAGCAACAGTCTGACTGTATAATGGCAGAGCCATGCTCCGAGAATGTGTTTGTTTCAGCGAAAAGATCGTGTTCATAAGTACACGAAAGAACATTAATTTTTCTTTTAGACTGCTACTACACAAAAGAAAACAGAGGAGAGCATCAAAGAAGGGAACACTCTGAAGTCCGTAGAATTATACTTATTTAGCAGACAGGAGATAAAGTTCAAGAGTTCAAATTTGAGAAAATACCCAGTATTGCATCCTTCAGCTCGTAGTTCAACAGCAAAAAGAGTTCCTAAAGCAACCACCCTTTGGACTGCTGGATTCGAGGAAATCTGGAGAACCAATTCTGCGTCCCACAACTGTAAGGACAGTACTGGATTATAAATACAGATGTCAAAGCAACAATGCAATGACAGTATCAAACATTATGAAATACAAGTTATTTAAGCCATAAGATTGCCCCAAGTTTGAAGATCTATTGTTGAGCACTCTACACGTCTGATCCACCATTTTAGAATAACCACACACACATATCTACGGCAACATTGATTTCTCCTCTCCTAATGGGAGATGAAGTTATCCAGCCAATCAGTTCAAATATAACAGTGAACATAGCCTTCTAACAGCACCGCTTTTTGCTGCAATTCATGTTCTTAAAGGAAGGCGAATAGACCAAGTTCATGAGAGAGAGGCAAAAACAGTAGAGTAGCAAGAGAAACAATTCTGTCAAAAAGCATAAAAAACACCAAGTACCGATATGTTTCATCCCAACTAAAATTAACATTTAAAAGAAAAAATAAAATCCCAAGAGAAACAACCAACCAGATGATGGAGTAATTAACAAAGTTATAGATTCGAAAATGGAACAGAAATTATGAAGATAGCTAGTTTTCCCAATAATTATGGGTTCCCCACTGTCAAGGTTTAATTGAATATTACTAAATTACTAAAGGTACAAGATCAAAAACAAGCAAAAGCTAACCAGTTTGAAGTATTAATTCCATCGCTAAGTAAGAGAAGAAAAACAATGCAAGGGCAGAATGAATACCTCCCTAAGGAATTCGGCTCCAGGTGTTAGATTATTGTTCGTTTGGGAATTTTTAAACCATTTGATCGACTTACGAGCAGCAGAACATCCAATAGCATGAGCAGAATATGAGTGCCCATGCAAAAGGGCCTTGAGCTGCAGCCAGGAAAAGAAAGATGTAAATTCGAACGTCCACCAATCACCATGCTTTCAACAGAAACCAACACTGCACTTATTCATATCCACAACTCCATAACGATGAAGTGAAAACAAGTTCAAAAGGCAAGAGCAAAATCTAATATACATGCATTTAAAACGTACACAATCCGGACTAAAGAAGGAAAAAGATCAGGAAGTAAACTTACTAAATAAAATAAAACATATTTTAACTAAAACAGTGAAGGCCAAGCTGCAAGGAAGCTGTTTTCAAACTCAAATAAAACATACATGACGTAAAAATCCAGATGATTTCCTACACAACCTCTACCTCGAATTGTACAAAAGATAACCATGATTTAGAGTCAAGATGATTCATGAGAGTTAATACCTTTGAGTTACCAACAAATGCTTCAAATACAGACTCCGACGCTAAGGTTACAGCCAAGGGAACGACACCACCTGTCATTAGCTTTGCAAAGCAGCTTATATCTGGCTGACAGCAGAGGAGTTTGGCAGCAGACTGATGAAAGTAAGGGTAAAAATCGTTAAACAACCACAATGTCAAAGAAAAATGAACACATATAAATCTCTGACAAACCCACCTCGGCTCCGAGACGCCAGAATCCAGTAAAAACCTCATCAAATATAACAGGAATTTGTCGACGTTGACACTCTTTAACTAGTAGCCGCTGAAACAGGGGATCAACCATTTGCATACCACCAGCACCATGAATCACTACAATTCAACAAAATTTTGGTTATGCAACTACCATAAAATTTGAAGGAAAAGGAGGGGAAAGAAAAAAGGAAAAACAAAATAACTCAACTGAAAAATCCAAAACAAAGTGTGGTTACTAAGCTACCTTAAAAGTTACACCGATATGATTAATCCTCCCATATAACACGTATATTAATCTTAAAAGATTACAAAGGATGAAATTTACAACTTTCAATAGAAACTTCTGCAAGTTGTGCACACAATTGCATTCTGCATTTTGGGAATATTGATGCTATAAAGCTTAGGAGAAAATGCAATATTTCTTAGGAAGTTCAGTGTACCAATTTTTCTACGAAACATGTGCTACGTATATCTTTTCGTGGATGAACAAAATAACAGAAAATCCAAGATGAAGACTCTCTAACTTGGCTCTCGGAAAATAACTGAGACATGATGGTTCAAAAATGACCATCGCCTCCTTCTACATGTTCTTAACTATCCCATGAAGGCAATACAATCAACCAAAAGTAGAAAGCGAGAAGGTGAAAGAATCTAGGATCAATTCCCTAGGCTGGAGACTAAGGAAAAAAAAAGTAATATGGGTAACTAAATACGCATCTGTACACTGCATTAAACGCCGCCAAATCATACATTACTTGTTCAACAAAAACTACTGATCTGGGAACTAAGCATTATATTACCTGGTTCAATAATTAACGCTCCAATAAGGGCATTTGTCTCAGAACTAGTGGAAGATAGCTCTTTTGATATGTATGAATTGTATATGCCAGCAACATTTGAGTCATCACGACTCTTCTCGAAGATTTCATCCCGTAAGTTGAAAACTGCACCATTCAAACAAAACATAAATAGTTTTTGGTGGGAAAAAAAAAAAAAAAGCTTCCATAGGTATTACAAAATTTCACTTACGGCAGTCTTCAGTATTCAAATTGTCAACTTGAATCCTCTCAGGAAGCTGAAGTTTCCAAACACCGTCGCTAAGAAAAACCGTGGGGGGATCAAGGAAAAGACCTCTGCCAGAGTACCTACAAAATACATTGCTTAGTATGCCACCAATTCTAACCAAGTATGGGCTAATTCACGGCAAAAACCTATATGCTTATACATACACTTCAACTCCAACTCCCTTGGTCATATTCACAATCTCTTTGCGCTAATAACCGTCTTCTTTTTATAAATTTCTAAAAGGAATCATCATCAGTAATTCCAATTCCCCCCTTAATAATGTAAGATATGATTTTTAAGATATATATCCTTTCTAAACCAAACAGGTTCCAAAGCAATGCACTTCTTCTTTTGCTTTCTGTTGTGTTTCAGGAAAATCATGCAGCTCATATAGCTTTCCAATTCATTACCAAGATGTTCTGTACCAATTAAAAGAGAGAAATACAACGTACCAAGGTTGCTGATAAATGCCAGTATACGAGGATGGTGCCTGCGCTTCCATTGCACCAAGAGTATCACCGTGATAAGATCCGTTTAGAGCTAAAACCTATGAAAACCACCACCATTAAAACTGTCTAGCCTGTACCAAACATCAAGTTTACATGCATGCAAAGTTAAAGCAACTGATAATCAAAGTGCCACATTTCATGCTTTCAAACCAAAGATGATACAAAATTAAGAAAACAAGGATTTCGCATGTTCAAAAAGCCTATCAAGGTTATAAAACGCTGAGAAACACATAATCAAACCAAGACAGAGCAAAAGAGGCACTTGAAACAGACTCCAAAGAACCTCTGATATCAAAATGCGTGACACGTACCTACAACGTTCTTCATAAAACTAAGTTTAAAATGTTGAAAAGTTGGAGCAGTATTTGTTAATTTTAGAAAGCCATCTCAAATTCTTTACAGCAACATCACATATTCATATAGGCAACTACTTAATCTCTTCTACACATGAAAAGGAACTAGCTAGCTAATACCTTCAGATTAATAAATTGTTCGACAATGTCAGCCTTCACCAGGTCAAAATGGATTTTGCTATCAAGCAAGAACTTTCGAAATGCCATTTTAAGAGCAATTTCAACTGCAGTAGATCCATTATCAGAAAAGTACACTCTTGAAGCCCATCCTGATGACACATTTCAAGCAACAGGGTAAGAATATAACAGTCTGCAACTATGTGTGGTGAAAAAGGAGAAAATATCAGATATGGGTCAGGCATGAGTTGCAGGCATGTTCCACATTTTCATAGTTCTACAAGATGGTTTTCGAGATACTTAATCCTAACTAATCAAGAATAAAATACAAAAATTTATCAATGAATAAGAACATCCATTTTAGCATGAACCAGAACAAAAAAACATATATTTGAACTAGGATTAATTAAAAAAGTACATGATGTGATGTGAACAAAATGATTAATCATTCACTGACACCAAAATTTAAATTTTAATTAATTCTGATATGGAAATGAGCAGAATACTAACCTTTTCCTACCCCATCAAGCAGGAGTTCAGCAGATTCAAGAACTGGTTCATAGACATTCTCAGGAAACATTACATGCCCATAGCGAGCAGCAGTATAACCAATAGTCCTTGCAAGCTCAATCTGAAACCACCTAAAAACGGAAACGCAGAAAACAATCTTACATATTTGACTGCCCGTAACATAATACACAACATAAATTTCTCATCTGATTAACATTTTCATTCATACAAAAATGGAGGAAAAGAAGGCAACAGTCATATGATGTACTTTCTTCATGAAAACCAATGAGCAGATTGAATGAAAACTTTATCTGGCATTGTGGGTGAAGAGCCATAATACATGGGCTATGACCTAGAAGAAAACGAGAATTGGGCTTCATGTGAAGCCAAAAAATACCATCTCCTAGCAATAGAAAAAAGGAAATTTTGTAGGCAAATGAAATTGTTCCGCACTACCCTGAAGTCATACCAGTGAGACCTTTTAGCTCCGCTCATCATTTTAAACTAAGAAATTTATTCTCGAGCAATGAATGAATGCAGATAGAGACTAATTCCCTGAAAGAAATTGTATATTATTCTCCCAGATGTTTCTCTAGGTAAAGATTTTATATTTTAATTGTCCAAATTTCAAGAAAAAGCAATGTTTCGTTCATATGAAACTACTACCGGTGGTTGTGTTCTATCAGAAACTGTAACATGTAATTTCATTACTTTTAGGGCAAAACTTGAAAATGTGACCTCATTCATATAATTTTTTCCAGACTCCCAGTGCGATTCTTAATGGAAAATTATGAATATAGTCTATCCAAAATTTTCCTGATTTTCCCATACAAAAATACATAGAAGTTAGCCATCTAACAGCTCAGACACCACTGCAAGTCATGATGCAACCAATAGAAAATATATAAAAGACAGAACTTGACCTGCAAATTAGCATCTGGCCCTTGGGTCCACCAGCTTGCACAAGCGTCAAACTGCTCAGTAATGATATTTTTCTTGCTACCCTACAGGAAATATACCAAAATCAGCTCAATGCTTTTTTTAGTGAATCACATGCGAACACAAAAGTTTGAATCACCTTAAATTGAAGAAACGTCATCTGATGCTGTATTTTGTAAATTTTCGAACATCATTTTCACTATAGTAGCAAAGGACCGAAAATTGATACTTCATAGAAAATGGGAAGATATCCAACCTTGTAAATAGCAAAATTTTCACCACAACGTGAATCTATTACAGTAACATTTTCTTCAGGTACAAGCTCATGTTGAGTAAAAGGCCACCACAAGATATCACGACCCCTTTTTGGCATCTCCAATAATTTCTGTGTTCTCTCTTGAAATGCAGATAGCAACATTTCCTTGACAGAGTTAAAGACAGGTTGAGACTTTTCGAACCATTCGAGCAGATTGTCTGACATATCTTGTGGAACAGCAGGGAGGAGAATTACAGGGACCCTGTAGTTAGGCATGTCATTTGCTAGGTGTAAGAAAGTACAAGGAGGTTCTGGAGCAAGTTCTATTCAACAATGAACGTATGCCCAAAACCGCAGCAATAATGAGAGAAACAAAGATTATATGGGTAGTTTACAACTACAGTCAACCATAGAAAAAATGAGGTTCACAAGACATTAATAGAATCAACATTACCTATTCTGTAAATAAGAAGACAATGGTACCTCGTTCACGAGGCCATGATCTTCAAATATGACAGCAACAACATCATAACCGCGAAGTTTCAAACTCTCATAAGCTGAAATAGTCGCTGATATACCACCTAATCTTCCATCTCCGACCAAAATAGCCGGCAATCGGAAAGGCCTACCAAGAAACGAAAAATTAATGGGAACATCAGATTGATTTTCCAGAATTAAGCAAACACATCTAAAGCAATAAACCTTCAAAGAACAATCTCTTTGCGCAACTATTGCAACGCCAAATTACAATTCACAGACATTCACTCTCTGACTAAATTGAAAATCAAACAAGGAACCAAAATGACATGCAACAGGATTCAGCACGCACCGATACAAGTCGCACTGCAGGGTACCCGAGGGCCCTGGACTGGCAACGCCGCCAGCAGTCTCAACCACACACATTACATCCATATCAACATCTTCTCCAAACCCACTGTTGGTACCCAATCCTAAACCCTTCTTCAACATGTCCAATAATTCAGAGTCTTCAACTCTAGCCCCTTCTCTTTCCACAGCTAAATGAGGCGAAATGGGCTCCCTCCACCCATAAAATGTCTTACATATCAACTGAGAACGCACATACATTGTTTCGCCATCTTCAAGCCCCTGTACTTTCCTCTCTTCATACCACCCCAAATTCTCAAAGCTTCCAACTGGCCCACTTGCCCCAACTACCTCATTTCCGAAATTCTCTGAACGCTTCCCCAAAAGGGCTCTCGAGGCCGGAGCCGACGCGTTAAGAACATGATTAGAGGCGAAAAGGGAAACATGGGGACGATTTTGGAGGAAAAAATCAGTGAACTTTCGGTAAACGAAACGCGAATCGGAATCATCGGGGAACCCTGTTTGAACTGGCTTGAGATAGACAAATTTCTTGGCAGCGTTAGGTTTTTTGCTAATGGAGGGGTTGAGAAATGAAATGGAGAGACCTGCGGAGACGAGGGTTTTGCCAAGAGATGTGTTGGCAGCCCAGACGGTGTAAGCAGGGTGAGCTAATGAGTATTCAATTCCGGTGCTCGGAGGAGGCGGAGGCGGCGGCGGCGAGTCTGCCTGAGTCTGAAGGTGGCGGCGGTGGAGAAGGCAGAAAGTAGCGAAACGGCGGCGAGCTGGTGGGGGCTTAAAGAGGGTTTTGATTTGGTACATTGTGTCCGTTCACTCGTTGCCGGTGAGTAAGTGAACTGACTGAAGAAGAACGGTGATAGAATGTAATTCTAACCGGGAAGATTAATTACCATTTTTTATTTTTGACTTTTTTTTCTTAGGACATCTCCAATGCTCCCCTCTATTTTACTGTTTCTACGATAAAATCCCTTTATTTTACAGTTATAACAGTGTCACGAATCTCAACCATCCTTCTATATGATTCCTCTAAAAAAATATTACCATTACTCCCTCTGTCCCAATTCAATAGGCTACCTTACTATTTAAGGGTGTCCCACTAAATAGGCTGGTTTCCTTTTTAAGATGTGTTTTTTCTAATAAAATTCCAAATGTATCCTTAATTTAATTAATCACCTACCCATCATTGATATTTTTATAAGGGTATTTTAAGAAGATAAAGGTAAAAATGGTTAGTTAAGTTAGTTTTATTAATCTGTGTGAAAAATACTACAAGCCTATTGAATTGGGACGGAGGGAGTATATTTTTTTCTAATTTATTAAATCTAATAAATAGTTTTTATAATTAATAATTTGATACATTTTACAAGTAAAAAGAATATATGTATTAATATTATAATTAGATTAGTCATTTAATTAAAGTTTTCAAATAATTTAATTTACGATTTACAAACAAAATTTTTAGTTTGTGAAACTCTAAATAATTTAATGTAAAACACTTGTATTCTATTAAAATAAACATACATTACAAATATGGAATTTAAAGCATTAACTTAAAAAAAACACACATAAACATGAAAAATGCATTGCGAAGCTTAATCTTGAGAAGAACTCTAATAACACTAATTATTGCTTTGACAATAGTCATCCCACAAATACTCAATTAATGCATCTCGAAGTTGAAAGTTAGCATTTCAATCCTTTATTTTTCTGTGACGTGCTAAAAATTGCTGAAAATAATCATCATCACGTGGCACGGGTGTAACTGTTGAAGCCCCAAATTTCACATCATCTCTAATTGGTGCATTGAGATTACGTTCATCTTCAATTATCATATTGTGCAAATAATACATGTCGTCCTTAATCCTTATATCATTCAAGACTTTTTTTTCCAGAAACGCACGGGTCCGGTGACTATTGTAAATCTTTTCTATAAAACTCCAAATGTACACTCAACATTTTTTCTACATGTCTCTTGTTTTATTTTAAAAATATTGTTGTTTTGGATTTGATGGTGCAACAAAAGATTGAACAATGGTAGCCCATTTCGGATATTTACTATCTGCTAAATAGTATCCTGTATCGTATTGCTTACCTCAAATAGTATAATTAGCTGGAGGAGCGATACCTTGGGTAAGAATAGAAAATAAAATGAAATGATTCTAACATATTAATATCATTATTTGTACCGGTCATACCAAAATATGCGTGTCATATCCACAAATCATATCATAGTCTACAACAGCTTCTAAAATGATAGTTGGTTATCCAGAATGTCCATTGTATTGGTCCGTCCCACCTTGTAGGACAAGCTTCTCATTTCCAGTGCATATAGTCCAAACTACTCAACATTCTCAGGAAACCACGTTTCTCACCAATGTGAAGCAATCTAGCAATATCAGCAGCATTTGGTGATCTTAGGTATTGTGCACCGTAAATTTCAATAATAGCTCGGCAAAATCTCTTTAAGAATTCTTGTGCTTTTGATTCAGCAAGTTTAAGATATTCATCAAGTTGATCTCCTGGACCGCCATAAACCATCTGACAAATGGTTGCTGTTACTTTTATATTTGTTGAAAGGCCAGGTCTGCCAATAGTATCCTTGTGTTGTTGGAAATAAACATCATGGTTCTTCACCGTGTCATGAATACGCCTGAAAAGACTAATCGACATTCAAAACCTTCGGCGAAATGTTTCTGCATCGTAACTTGGATTACTACTTGATGAAACTCTTGTCTCACATCTGTATTGGGAGTGATTTTGTATCAATATATAAGATCCATGGATTACTCCTCTCATTGTCAATTGGTTTTGAAGTGGAATCCCATGGGCTTTTATATGGTATCAGAGCGGGTCAGGCCCAATATTATAATAGGTGATCGGACTGATCTAAGTCCATGCCTACTGGGCCAAAAGCGATCGGACTAACCCATAAAAATATCGAGTGATCTAGTCCGTGCCCGTTGGGCCTGAGGGGGAGTAATGAAACTCTTGTCCTACATCGGTGTTGGAAATGACTTTGTATCAATATATAAGATCCATGGATTACTCCCTTTATTGCCAATTGGTTTTGAGGTGCAACCTGATGGGCTTTTATACTACTAAAGTAATCTTAAACAAAGTTTGATTGGCCCCTTCTCGACCTCGATGGACTACTTTGCGGCCTAGAACAGAACCACCCTAAGTCGATTGACTACTTTCTGCTGAAAGGGTATATGCTAACACAATATTGTTAGTTTGGATTACATAAGCAATTGCTAATGTAAAATTATTTTCAAAAAGAGGAAAATTCAAATTCTATTAGTTTTAATTGAATTCTTCTCATATGAATCATAATCATAAGAAGGAAGATACTCTTTTTTTTTTTTTTGGTCAATGGCTACTTACATTACTTCTCAAAAAACAACATTCTAAATCTATAAATGGCTTCCATCTCTTGATGGGTCCGTTTTGGATTCGCGGTATAATCAGAAAGCTAACATTTTTCCCTGGCCTAACTATAACAATTTGACCACGAAACAAAATTTGGTTTGCCTGTACAATTTTTGTTCTTGTTTCCTAACAGCTCAAGTTTCACTGGATTTCTATAGGGGACCAAAGTTCCAGAACTTCTTTCAAGTTACTGTCATTGACATAATTGCAGTTTGCAGTTTTGATATCAGAACCTTAACATTGCCACTGTCAACTAAAGCAGAAATTTGCAGCAAAATCTATAGATCTGTCACTTAATTTTCCTCTCCTGCATTCTTGAATTTTTCCAGCAACAATTTTCGTATGGTCTTCCTCAGATGTGAAGGATCTGCCAGGTTGAACCAGTGCCTTCCAAACTTTTTCAAATTGTTTATAATGAATAGTATAGAGGAAATTTCTCTATTCATTTAAAGAAAAATAGAGGAAATTTAAAAAACTCTAATTTGATAAATAGTTGTTTAATGTTTCGGGTTGTATGATATATAGGTTGTTATTTATATACATGAATGTGCTTTATTCATTAAAGTGGGGAAAGAAAAAAACAACAACAACAGTACATGCATACTGCAAAACTGGATTTGAAAAGACCGGACTTTACTGGCTTAAATAGAAAGAAAAAAACAAAAAAAAAGAACAACATCACATACATACTACAAAGCTGAATTTGAAAAGACCGGACTTTGTATGCTTAAATGAAAAGAAAAAAAAAAGAGCACATGCATACTGATCGGATTGTTTACTTAAATGGGAAAGAAAAAAAATGAAGAAAGATCACATGTATAATGCAAAAAATTTAACTGACATGACCGAACAATGGTTAAATGGACAAAATAAAAATGAAAAAAAGTATGAATAGACAAAGAAACAAAGTCTGGTAGAAAAGACCGAACAATGACAAAATGGACAAAAGAAAAAAAGCATGAATGGACAAAAAAATAATGCTTTAGTTGACAAAACGGGACATGTATGTGAAGAGAAAATGACAAAGAATATACACCAATCAGCCAAGTTAATTTTTTTTCAAAAAACGAAAAATATAATGAATGGACAAAACAACAAAATAAAGTTTTAGTTGACAAAACGGGACATATATGTGAAGAGAAAAGGACAAAAGTCAAATTAATTTTAAACAAGAAAAGTTCTTATTAAGTATAAAATTTTGTTAATAAATACCATAACGATCATTCAAGTATAGCAATCAGTTTTTCTTTAACAATTTTGTTTCCTTTCGTCTTTTTCTACTCTAAAAAACATCTTCGCATCTAAGTCCCAAAAATTAAAAATGGCATCCAGTAAAAAGGGGACTAATTTCTCAAATGCTGAAGATGTTCTTCTTGTGACATATTATATAAATGTTTCACAAAATCCAATATCTTCAAATAATCAACATGGAGATACGTTCTGGAAGAGAATTACTTTTGACTATAATACAAACAAAAAAAAATGGCCAGAATGATCAGAAAAATCTTGTGAATCTCGCTACCAAACGATTGAAACGATTGTTCGAAAGTTCAATGTATGTTTAAAACAAGTCGAGCATCTCAACCCTAGCGGGACACAAATCGAAGATCGAGTAAATATCATTTAAATATTTTATTTTGGTTGCAGCTTAAATATGAGAGAAAATATGATTTTATGTATACATTTTTAAAATATAATTTTGTAGATGCCTCTAGCAGAGTTATTTGATGAAGATGGAAAGTATAAACAAGGGTTCAAGTTTGAACATGTATTCCACTTGCTGCAAGATTTTGGAAAATTTGATGACCATACTCCCCAACAAAGAGATGACTCGCAGGATTATGTTATGATTAATGAATTATCGGAGTCTGAAAATCCGCATTATGCATAATCAACAGTTGAATCTCCCATATTGTCATCTTTTGATCCTCAACTGAGTGGCGGTAGTAGTAGTGCTGGCAGAACATCCTCTAAATGGCTTATGGGAGTGAAGAAAGCCAAATTGAAGAAAAAATCAGAAGACCATATAAATAAGGTATTGATTGATTTAACTGCTAAAAGTGATGCTATTGTTGATTTGCTAATGAAGCAGGATGAACGCCAAAATGCTCAACTTCAACTTCAAAAAAAATCATCACGGCTAGCACAAGAGAAAGAGGATAGAGTTTCAATGACAGATTTGAATTCCATTCCGAATCCAATGGTTCGTGCGCTTTGGGAGAGTAAACAATTGCAAATTTTTTACAAAGAAGGAATTTTTCCCAACAACAATCTCATGCACCGTCATCATCTAACATGGGACAATTTGGATTTCTTAACAATATCGGGCATGCCAGAGAGAATTAAGGTGATTATTATGGATAATAATGATG